CCCCGCCGCTCAAGCGCCCACACGACATCCCCCCGCAAAAAGACGACGACGCCGCCCCTGCCCGCCGCCGACGCCGTGATGCGGAAGAGCGGGGCGCCGGTCTGGGCGTCGGCTTCGCGTAGCGGGACGAGCAGCACGTCGTGCTCGTGGCACCAGTCCTCGACGACGTCTTTGAATGTCGTTTCGGGCTGGTCGTCTGGCGGCTGCTCTGGGGCTGGCGGTGGCGGGGCGGGCGCAGCAGCAGCAGCAGAGACTTCTTCTTCTTCTTCTTCTGACGGCAGGGGCGCGAGCTCCGGCGCGGGCAGCGCCGTCTTGGCGTCTTCCCCCAGGTCGAGCGCCGCGTTCATGAGCTCGAGGCCCTGGTCCCAGGCGCGCGCGACGGCGGGGACGGCGTTGATGGCGTCCGGGAGCTGGGCCTTCCACCAGGAGAACCACTGGCCGACTTCGTCGTAGTCGGGCTCGCTGGTCAGCCAGAGATGCAGCACGCTGAGCCATTTGGGGAAGAAGGCGGCTTCGAGGAGGTGCGCGAGGGTGCTGGGCCGGAAGAACGGCGTCCATGCTAGGACATGCGTCAGCGGCGCGAGGTCCTGGTCGCTGGGGTCGATGGAGAAGTTGTCGTGCAGGTGCGCCGACAGCCGTGGGAGTAGGTACCGGATGAGCGTGTGTTCGAGCGTGGGCAGCACTTCCCGCCAGGAGTCCAGGCCCGGCAGCACGCCCCGCGTCAGGTCCCACGATTTGAGCGCGGCGGCGAACTTGTGCCGCACGTCTGTGAGGAGGCCCGTGGGTGCTTTGGGGTTCGTGTGCTCGTCTGAGAGGTATTGCAGCCAGGGGAAGAGCCAGACGTGCGGCAGCGGGATCGAGTGCTTCTTGCGCAGCGAGAGGCGCGGGTTCCAGTCGTGCAGGGCGGCCTTGAGCTTGGTGACGATGAGGTTGTTGAGCAGGCCGTAGTGCACAAAGGGCGGCAGGACGTCCTTCCACGCCTCGACTAGCGCGATGAGTGGGGTTGGCGTGTGCGGGTCCCAGGCGTTGGTGATGCAGGTGCGCACCTTGGGCAGCCACAGGGTGTAGATGAGCGTCTCGTAGGCCGTCGTCGACCTGTGCGGGCGGCTGCTGTTGTTAATGTTAATGCCCAGAATGGTGCGCAGGCGGTGCAGGTAGGGCACCAGGTGCATTGGCTTCTCCAGCGGCTCCCAGTCGAGCATCTCCTGCTTGAACAGCGGGGCAATGGCCGCAACCGCCACGTCGTGCAGGCCGAAGCGCAGCAGCTCGTCGCGAAATTCAAATTGAAGCGTCTCAAGCTCGGCGACGACCGTCTCCCACTGCGCCAGCGCGTCGGGCGCCGTGCGCGGCCGCGCCAGGTCCAGCCGGCTCAGCGCGTCGACGGCCTCGGCCACCAAGCCCAGCTTCCGGTCCGCCGCCGCCTGCTCGTCCAGCTCGCGCAGCAGCTGCGCCTCCTCGGCGTCGACAAACTTGCGCCGCTCCGTCAGCTCCGTCCACGAGTCGGCAAACGCCTCGAGCTCCACGCGCGCCCGCTTGGCCACCTTGTCCGCCTCGCCGCCGCCGCCCACCGGTGTCATCAGCCCGGCCGTCGACGTCAGCAGCCGCGTCTCGCGCCCCGTCGCGTCAATGAGCGTCTTGAGCACGTTGGGCACCGCCAGGCCCGTCGTCTTCTCCAGGTCGGCCGCCGTGCGGAACTTTGTCTTTTGCTGCTGCTGGCGGCCATAGCTGCCGGCGGGCGTGCTGGCGCCGCTGGTCGTGGCCGAGCGCTTCTCCGCCTTGCGCTTGCGCCGGGCCCTGCGCTCCTCCTCGGACGAATCCTCGTACTGTTCGCCGCGACGCTCGGCGGCGCGCCGGGCCTCTTGCTTCGCCTGGGCGGTTTTCTCCTTGACGGCGCCGACGCCGGCACCCTGGGGGCGCAGCTTGACCTCGATGGGGTTGATGATGCCCTCGCCCGTCTTGCCCAGGCCCTGGCCTTCCTTGTAGCCCATCTTGGCCATCATGCGCTGGGCGAACGACATGGTCTTGGGGGCCTTGCGTGGGGGATCGGCGTCGTGGTCGGGGGCGGCGGACCTGCGCTTTGCGGGGGGGCGATCCATGGCTGGTGGTGGTGATGGGGTGTTTGGTGTTGAGTAGAGTGACGCGCGCGTCAAAAAGTAGCAGCGGGTAGCGCAGGGCTTAGCTGCGCGCGGCCCGGCGACGCCTCGGCCCCTTTGGTCGCCCTTGCTGCTGCTGCCGTCCATCCATACGAGGCTCACGCTCGCTCCTCCTCTTCCCTTCCCCCCCCCCCTCTTGCTCTCTTAGTACTTAGTGCTTTCCCTTCCTTTCTCTCCGACTCCTCCTCTTCCTTCATCATGGCCACCCTTGAGCCCATGGTGCGCACGGCGTCCAACGGAGGATCAATACCTTTGGAGCATCCGGCACCTGATCTGCACTCCCCCCAGGATGGATTTGCGACGCACGTTGAGAGGCTCGAATTCCATGCCGAGCGCATGAGCTCGTCGGGCTCGGACATTGGCGAGGAAATCCGGCGTCTCGACACGGGCAGGACGCACAGTCGCAAGTCGTCGCTGCGCTCCTTTGTGGCCGCCGCCAACGACGTGCCGGGCACCTTTTCGGGCTCGAGGTCGCGCAACCCGTCGGTCAGCTCCTACTCCAACTCCATCGTCGACGTCAACAGCGCCGCGCGATGGGGCGGCTACTCGCCCAGCGCCTATGTCACCTCGCCCAAGGGCTCCATCCAGTCGACCCACCCCTCGATGCAGCGCCAGCGCTCCGTCACGGGCTCCCTGCTGAGCACCCAAGAGGGCATCATCGACGAGGAAGCAGAGTCTGCCAGCGCACACAATACCCCCCATGTCGCCACCACCCACCAGGCGCCGCACGCCCGCAACGTTTCTAATTTTACCCTCGAATACGACAAGATAGTCCAGGACCTGGAGCATGAGCTCACCCACATGCACAGCCACGGCTCTGCCCCGGCCGCCGGCGCCCACGACCAGGCCGCCTACGACATGGTCGACCCTCACGATCTCCCCTACCGCCCTGGCACCGCCGACACGTTCCAGCAGGCCCAGACGGCCTTTCACGACTTCGACGGCGTGCATTGCGTCCAGCCGCTCGCCGAACTGCGCGAGGTGTCCGAGGGCCACGGCCACTCGATGCTACACTCGGTCCCGCATCCTGGCCAGGAGGGTGCTCCGCCGCCGCAGGACGGCATGGTCTACTACCCCGCCCCCGTCCCGCGCCTGCTCAACCTTCCGAAGCGCCTTTCGCAGCTCCCGGCCGCCGCCATGCAATCGAGACGGAAATCACAAGCGTTGGAGGCCGAGGCGAGGAATTCGGCCATATGGGTGGGCGATGGAGGAGAAGGCTCGAGCAAGGCTGACAAGAAAAAGGCCGCCGAGGCGAGGCGCAGCATGCCGCCGCAGTTGCGCGCAGGCATGTTCTTCGAGTCGCCCAGCGTGCCGCAGGACATTCAGTTGCAGGGAGACTCGGCCGAGCAGACCCTCGAAGGCATCTTGGAAGCTTCGGCGAACGCCCCGGTCAACGCTTTCACGGACCACCCTGTCGCAGGCCACCTGGGGAACGAAGTCTATGGCAAGGAGAACAAGCGGAAGAGCACGTCGGCTCTGCTCGGACTGGACAAGAAAAAGAGCCAGTCGGAGCTGGCGGACAAGAGGAAGAGCACGTCTACACTTCTGGTGGACAGCGCCACGACTGCGCCGCCGCCGCGCCTCGACCTTGACGCTCCGCCTTCGGAGGAACAGCTCGGGAAAAAGGTGCACAAGAAGAATCGCAGTTCCTTCACCCTCATTTTCGGGCGGAAATCCAGCTCGGACCAGCTCAAGAAACTCAAGAAGAAGAACAGCAGTGGTGACAAGCTCAACAAGCTTCAGAAGCGCAACAGTCAGCTAAGCCTAGGCAATCAACTCGACACCACTGCAGCCGCCCCCACCGAACTAGAACAACGAAAAACCCTACATCAGCGCCAAGTGTCAACCTCGACCAACGACTCCCACATTGACGAGTCGACCCCCCTGCAGGAAGATGACATACCGGCTGACGCTCACCGCGGACCAGGGCATGAGGACAGCGACGAAGAGGAAGAATCCGACGACGGTGCGACGGCCCAGCAAGAAGAGTACTTTGGCCCGCCGACGACGCTCTTGGCGGAGCTCCAGATGCGCAAGGCTCAGCAGCGGACTCGCAACCGGACGGCGGTCACCGCGTTCCCGGACGGCATGCACAGCACGCTGCTGCAGCTCGACGCGGTCGCCGAGATCGAGAAGAAGCGCCGCCAGGGCCAGCGCGTAAACTTGGCTTGGGAGGACCCGAACGCAGAGGAAGACGACGACGACGTGCCGCTTGGCATGCTGTTCCCCGGCCAGAACGGGCTCGTGCAAAAAGCTGCCCAGGGCAACGGCGCTTTGGGCATGGGCGGCGGAGGCCGGGAAGACTATAACCGCCCGCTGGGTCTGCTGGAGAAGAAGGCCCTCGAGGACAACGAGCCGCTGTCTAGCCGGCGAAACCGTCTTCGCGGCCTAGCGCCAGGCACAGTGTTGCCGCGCGACGTGAGTCCCGGCAGGATCGACATCGACAGAACAGGGACGCCCCGTGTCGCGATCACGGCGTCGTCCGATCGGGCGGTGCCGCTGCCAGAGCCTGAGTATGAGGACGAGCCATTGGCGGCGCGCAAAGAGCGGTTGAAGCGGAAGGAAATGCTGGATGGCGCGCTGGGAGACATGAAGTCGCGGCCCATTAGCGGCGACTTTGCCAGCGAGATGATGAGCCAGCTCGCGACGGCGAAAGAAGGCGATGAGAAGAACGACGAGAAAGATGAGAAGAACGCAGCAGGGCCGACGACACCCGGCGGCATGCCGGGAGAGGAGGAAGAGACGCTGGGACAGCGGCGCGCGCGCCTGCAAGCCGAACGCGGCGGCGTGCCCACCACACCTTCAGGCCTTGCGCCGAACGACCCGCTCCGCCCGCCTCTCAAGGCCAGCCGCAGTCTGGCGGACATCTTGTCGGCGCACCCGGTGGCGAACCAGGCGCGCAAGGTGTCAAACGACCAGCTGTTGTCGGCGCTGCCGCGCGGGAGCTTACTCGCGAACAACGAAGTAATAGCGCAACGCCGCTCGCGCGCAATCCTCGAGGGCAACAAGCGTAGCACGAGCTACGGGGGCGTGTTTGGCGGGGCGGGCGCGGGCGCGGGCGCGGGCGCAGGAGGCAGTGGCAGCGGCAGCGGCAGCGGAGCGGGGCTCGGCCTCGGCGGGCCGCTGGTCGACGTGGGCGCGCAGAACCGCACGCGCTCAATGCTGCTCGACAGCGGGGCGACGGGCGCGCGCAGCGGCGAGCGTGGCCTCCTGGGCTTGGGGGGCGCGAGACTGCAGCCGGCGCCGGGGGCCCTGGGCGGGATGCAGAGCGCGGCGGCGTCGTCGGGACGGGCCATGACGATGCAGGCGCCGCCGCCGATGCCGCTGTCGCCTATGGGGATGGGCATGCCGATGCAGCAACAGATGGGAATGATGCCCCAGGGCGGACTGCTCTCGCCGGGCTTGCCGTCGCCGATGGGCATGCCGATGGGGATGGGAATGGGCATGGGCATGGGCATGGGCATGCCAATGATGCAGCAGCAGCAGCCGCTGGCGTCGCCGGGCTTGCCGCTTTCGCCGATGGGCATGCCGCTGGCGTCGCCGATGGGCATGCCCATGGGGATGCAGCAGCAGCAGATGGCGCCGATGGGGATGGGCATGGGGGGCATGAATATGAACATGGGCATGGGTGGTATGGGCATGCCGATGCAGATGCAGATGCAGATGCAACAGGGCGTGGGTGTTGCGCAGCAGGCGGGCTTGGAGCAGGGGCGCCGCGACGCGATTGATCGGTGGAGGCAGAGCGTGTCGTAGGTTTGTTTGTTAGCGGTTGTGGGGTAAGGGAAGGGGGAAAGTTAAGAGGAGGAGGAGGAGAGGGGCGGAGCTTATGCGCTCTGCTTTGTTGTGGTGATGATGACGATGGGAGAAGAAAGGTGAGTTGAGAGAGACGACGCTGTAATAATGGAATGGAGCGGTTGGAGCGGTTGGAGCAGATGCAGCGGCTACAGTAGCTGCATGTCATGTCATGTCATGTTAGTCTAGTTGAGCGGGGTGGAGCGGCATGGGGCATAGCACTGGCACTGGCACTGGCACTGATACAGCACAACACACACAATACGGCACTGATACGGCACGGTACGGTACGACGAGGCAAAGGCAGAGGCAACGGAATTTGGCATTTGGCTTTTGGCATTTTATTTGGCATGGATGGGGTGGGGTGGGGACTTGACTTGGGCTTTGACTTGCTTGGGCTTTGATATGGTTTTGATTCGGGTTTGACACAGGGCATTGTAGCATTGTAGGCTTTAGCTAGCTGAGTGGTGGGGTGTGGTGGGGTATTTATATGGCTTTTTTGCGTTTTTTGTGTGTGGTGTGCGTTACTGGTGAGTAAGTGGGTGAGGGGTGGGGGTGTGTTTATTAATTTATTAATTTTATTGTTTTTTTTATTTGCTTTGCTTTGCTTTGCTTTTTGAGGTTCGTTGTTGTTGTTGTTGTTGTTGTTGCGAGCGGAGTGGAGCGGTTGGGTGGGGTGGGTTGAGTGGTTAGGGTATAGGAGATAGGGTATATGTATTTATACTATATACCTTATTAGGGAGGGAGATGGAGTAGGTGAGTAAGTAAGTAGGCGTGTAGATAAGTCGGTGAGTAGCTAAGTACTATATAAGATGCTGGGTATTTGTAGGTGGGTGGATGCGTTCGCGTCCGGATGGCAAGCGCGGGCAATAAACTAACTTGTTTATGCTCTACTAACTAATCTATAAAGTCCCCCTCTTTAACTAACCTAACCTCCTCGTATAGAACTCTTCCGGCCCAGCAAGCCTGTCGAAGAGGGATTTGCAGTGTATGCTGCGACTTAAAGCGGCCCCCCGCTCGAGAGAAAACGATGAACCCCCCCCCCCGGCGATGGGGACGTTATGTGTGTTTCCACAGAACACTTCAGCCAGCTTTACGCAAAAGGAAGGAGTGGAGGCGGAGAAGAGGCTGGCTGGTGAGTATGCTGCGCATCGGTGCGTGCTGCTGATGCTGGGCACTAACCGTCAGTAGTGGTGATGAGAGCCATCATCCAATTCCGACAATCTACTCAGGAGGCGTCTTTGGCTCCTTCTCTGTCTCGGGTTCGACGAAAGAGCAACGGCTACCGGAGTATACCATCCAAATGTGTAGGACCGGGCCCGTTCCATCTCTTCGCTATCACTGTTGTAGATGGCTCTGCTTGTCGTGAAGCCACTGCCGCCGCTGCTCTAGTTATAGCCTTCTTCTGCGCGGCTATTAGGGAGTTATCGTGGTCGGCCCGCCTAAAACAACGATGTATTAGCGAGCCTGCTCGTCTTTCGTGTTAGAGTAAATAAAGTAGTGTCTTGCGGAAGTTGGAGACGTTGCTCTCGTTTAACTTCTTAGAATGTAGTGTGCATACTGCAAGCAAGTCGGTATGCACAGAGCAACTATAGCACAACTACCAAAGCATCAACGACGACACGCACCAAAGATGGCGAGGCACCCACCTAGCATCCCAACGAACCATGGTTACACGACCAAAGCCGACGTCACCAACCCACGCACCACACCACCCACCCAAAGCATTAAATAACGCAAACGCAAACGATCCTTCACACCGCAATTGCGCGCATGGCGCAGTTGTTTCCCCACCCAGCAGACTGCAGACTGCTTGGCCCGTGTGCATATCTACTGCACTAGGCACCCACCGGGTGGGGGATGCGTTCGAAACTCATGAGCGGACGTCGGTGGAAGTCTCCAACCTTCTTTCTTCGGGAGGGAGGAAAACGTGTATAGACCCCTAGGAGAGGCCTTCGAATGTAAAAAACCCCCTCTTTTCTAGCTCTCTAGAATCTAAGGGGTTTCTCATCCGGCCCGGGCCGGTATGAGTTTTGGTTTTTTGGTTTTTTGGGGTTTTTTTTTTTTTTTTTTTTTTTTTTTTTGTTGTGGTTAATTGTTGAGATGATGAGGACGCCGACTGGGTATTTACTTCCCCAGTAAGGTGCTGCGCTTCTAAACTTCAGTATGAATATAAGTACGCCCGCACGCATGCATGCGCAAGAAGCCTTGGACCAGACCAAGATCAAACACCACAGCCATTCATCTCCACAACGACAACATTATCATTATCATTAACGGCATCTCTCCAACCTTTCTACAACATCTCCACAGCGTGCACAACCCAAAACCCGACACCCGAAACCGAAGCCATTGATCCATCCCACTAAATCCACCGCCAGTCTAGTGATCAATCAAACCAACACGACACTATCCACCCAACGACAGAAGACAGAAGACAGACGGCAGACGACAGAAACCTCCCAGACAGAACCCACAAACGAACTATTAACCACGTCCCGCGACTCTTCTTTCCTTTCTCTCCTTTCTCTTTCTTTCAAAAAGAAAGGGAGGCCAGAAAACGGGGTAGCCGCACCAAGACGCGAGAGAGATAGACAGAGAGAGATGAGGGAATAACCACCGAACAAAACCACTAGAAACACACCAAAACCAAACCAAAACCGCGATCCTGGTCCAGATGCAGTCTTCGAACTTCAACTTCGAACTTCAACTTCGAACCCGAACCTATACCCCACCGAACGAGAGAACCAGAAGGGGAGAGAGAGCCGCCGACAGAGGTATACAATAAGACGCAGCAGCGCGCCCTCCCTCACCGCAAAACACTGAAAGAAAGCTTAGCACCAGGAAACAACAGCAAAAGCACCAAAAACGCCCAAGCCATGCGTGCGTGTGAGGCCGCTGTGCAGAAAACCCCTTCACCGCACACCACCCACACGCAAAGCACAAAACACAAAACACACGAAACCACACCAAACAACCAAACAAAAACAAACGCAAACACGCAAACAACCCCACAAAACACAGCGCCAAGGCACGCCACACGCGCAAGAGCGCGCCATGCTCGCAAAAAAATCAAGTTTCTCATCTTCATCTTCATCTTCTTCGTCTGCACTGCCTGCGTTATCTCAACCCCCTTTGTTCCTTTCCCCCTCTTCTTTCCCCCCTCTTCTTTCCCTCCTCTTCTTTCCCTCCTCCTCTTTTCATGTCCTATCCATCTCTTCCCACGCAAGCGTGCATGTGGTATTGGTATTGGTATCTCAGAAAGCGAATGAAACGAGTGAGTGCGTGAATGAGTAAGTTGGCCCCTCCTTTCTTCCTTCTTCTTTCTTCCTCCTCTTCCTCTTCTTTTCCTCCATGGCGTTGTCTTGCTTGTTGGCCAAGCAGTCAGTTGTTCGGAAGAGGGACCGGAAGGCGTGAGAGCGGGTATCGAGGGTGTGGCGTGAGCGTGAATGTGAGTGTGAGTGTGTACGTTGGCTGAACAGTTCGCACGCGCGAACAAGCGGCCGTAGTAGGCGGGCGGTCTGAAGTCCTGCCAGCGGATCCATCGAGCCCAGAAGTCAAACGAAACAGAAAAACCAACAACAATAAACGAAACGAAACGAAACCACACGGCCCGGACGAGGCCCTTGCGGTCAAAGCCGATCAGATCCTTCCACCTCTCACGACCTCTCGCCCCACAAGCTCCATCTCCCCCGAATTCGACGTCCGCCGCCGCTCCATCACCCACCTATACCCGTCCGTGCCTTCGGCCTCACCACGCCCGTGGCCCTCACCATCACGCTCGCCTTTCCCCTTATCCCCCTCTTTGCCACCGCCACTGCCATCTCCACGCTCCTCCCCCACCGCACCACCTTCCGTGCTCTTCACCCCAATCCGCTCCCGCACATACGTCACGCTCTCTGCAGCCCCGCTACTCGTGCGGGAATGCGCGCTCGAGTGCGCGCGGTCCCAGAGCGGGGACGCCGGGCCAGGCGTCTGCTCCGGGGGCGACAACGGCGAGAACAGCGTCGGCGTGAGCGGCGAGCCCGCCCCAGGGCTAGGCAGCGCTAGAGGGGTGGTGGCGGCTCCGTCACTGCTGGTGGGACGCTGCTGCTGCTTCTGTTGCTGGTTCTGCGAGGGCGGAGCCAGGCCAGCCGAGGCGGTCGACGCCGAGGCAGAGTGTCCGAATGGGAGGGACGAGGTGCTTGTGGTGGAGATGGCGGACGCGGGGACCGAGACGGGAATGTTACCCGGGTTTTCGGGGAGGAAGGGGTACGCGTAGGGATCGTAGGCGGCGGCGGCGGCCGTGTTGATGTGCTGCGGGAGGTTTCGCGTCTGGATCTGGTGGGGCACGCCGGGCCGCTGGGGCGAGGGGGGACTGGCGCTGGGACTGCCGTGGTGCGGAGTCTCGTCGTTGAGGTCGTGGGAGCTACGGTTGGCCTGGCTCGAGTTGTCTTCGCGCTGGACGCTGTATGTTGACTCGTGTTCCGACTCGTCACCGCGGTTCGCTTCATTGACTAATGCTTCGTCCTCGTCTTCGTCCTGGATCCCTTGAGCTTGACCTCGGAACCCATCCTCACCTTCATCTGAATCTGACTGTTGTTCCTCGATTCCCTGCATTGCGTCCCACGCACTCTTTCCCCTCGTGGCCACCGGGCTCGTGGCTCTGTGTTGGAAGCTGTTGGGGAAGTAGCTTAACGGGCTCGAGTTTCTTGGACTGCTCGCTGCGCTGCCACCGCCAGGACTGCTCGTCGGACCGGCACCGGCGCCAAATGCACCCTTGCGCAGCTTCATCAGCTGCTCGAGGCTCATGTCGTAGTCAGCAAACTCGTCTTCGCCTGGTGGAAGGCCATAGGGGCTCATGCGGGCAAGCTGCGCGAGGCCGGGACTAGGCAGCGCGGGATTGGCGGAGCCCGGTCCGGTGAAGTGGCCCAGGCCGATGAACGAATTGCGCGTGCTGTATTCACTGCGCTCAGTGATGGGTGTGAGGTTCGGTTCGCGTACCGCGTTCCGCCCGCTCACGCTGCGGCCAAGTCCGCTAGGACCAAAGTATCCGCCATTGGTGACTTCTGCCCCATTGTTGTAGGCATTGGCGTAAAAGCCGAATTCAGAGCCATACTCGCCGTCAAAGTCGTTGGCGAGGGCCTCGGCATTGGCAGCAGCGATCATGGGGTCGTCTTCCAGCGCACTGTCGTAATCGCCGTAGTCGTCACCGTAACTATCTCCGTACGGATCTCCTCCGAAATCTTGGTCAAAGCTTTCATACTCTGTGTCAGGATACGTACTAGCCAAGAAGTTCTCGGTAGCACCGCTGACCCGGCTTGAATCCTGTACCAAGCTGGGTGCAGATTCTGTAGACTCACGGACGGCTGCGGTGGCGGGACGACTTTGCTCCGCTTCCTCATCTTGGCTATAGATTGACACATCGGTAGTAGTTGCAACGCTGTTTTTACGAACAAACCGGCCTTCAGCCTCGGCCTTGGTAGCAGCCTCAGCAAGAGCGCTAAAATAGTCAGCGGGACTTTTAAAGTCGAAAGGATCCCCAGACTGAAAGTTCCGGGAAAGCTGTTTCATTGAAGGATGCGGAGCTAAGGCGTGTTTTCCAGGTTCTTGTTCTTCCTGTAGGTCAGGGTTCTCTTCGGGATCTTTTGCGGCTTCAGCATCTTCGGAAAGAGACTTGGGGACCGGGGCAGGCCGCTCATAGAGCCCGCTATTAGGATCGTCGAAAGCGGACTCATCAAACGTATGCTCTCCCTCCTCCGGAGAAGGCTCATCGAGCAATCCGTCATCAAAGTAGAAGTCATCATCTTCCAACACCGGGCCCTTCGATCCGGATTCTTGTGGAAAGGCTGGACTGACTTCCGGCGTAAGGTGGCCTGCTCCGATATCGCCCTCAGCAGCCCCAGGCCCAATGTCCATAAGCCCAAGGCCATGCACGTTTGTTTCGGACTCTTCGTCAGCAGTCACCGGATGAGCACCGAGCGGCGATCGTTGTTGCGCTTGTGCAAGGCCTTGCATCATTGCGTTGCTGAGCGCGTTCCCTTGCACGTCTGCCGGCGTCCCCAAGGTATCACTTGCGGCGATGGGGCTCAGTGGGTTCGTGTATGGCACTCTGTTAAAGGAGCTGAAATCGTAAGCCGGCAGGCTATCCGCCAACCCGGTATCCGAACTGAAGCCACCAAAACCGTCACCATAATCATCCCCAAGCATAGGTATCTCTTCTTCGTAACCCCCACCATCCATATTGTCGTAATCGTACATATCCTCTTCTTCCTCGTCTCCGTCCTCGTCGTCGCCGGCAAGTTTACTGTCAGCTTTCTCTCTTGCTTTCGCAGCAGCCCTCTGCTTATGCCGCTCTTCGAGTAATTCCTCTTGTTCGGAAGAGTTGACACCAGCAATTTGAAAGCTAAACCGAGATGCTCTACTCGTTAAGTGTGTAGGTAGACCGGCGGGCTGAAAACTGGGATCCATCGAGCCGGAAGTTGCCCGTGAGCGGGACTGAGGGGGTGTCTTAATTGCATTTGATCCATTCGGGGAACCGGTCGTGGGACTGGGGCTTGCCTCAGGAACGGGGGCCAGACCAGCTGCATCGCTATCCAGTTGGAGCGGAGGGGGTAACGATCGTCGTTTTGCGAATGGCGGCGGCGGAGGCGGCGGATGATCTGGTTGTTCTGGGAAAGCGTTGCGGGCCAAGAAATCTTGGTTCGCAAGCGTTTCTGCTCTAACTGCAGATTCTCGCTTCTTATCTTCGCTTTCTGTAGTATCGAATTCCTCTTTAAAAACTGGCGTATGAGAACGATCGCGTTTGCTGGGACTCTCATCATCAGTCTGCTGCTTTACTTCAGCATCTAGTCGTGAAGAATCTCGGATATGAGCGTCGTAGGAATGCGTTCTCCGCGATTTTGGTGCGCTAAAGTCGTGCACTATGTTTCCACGTATACTCGGGTCAAAGTCGTCCGCCAGGGCCATTGCAGGCACGACCTGACTCTTGTGGCTGACTAAACTCTCGTCTGATAAGTTTGGTATTGCCTGTCCTGACCTCCGCCGAAGGAGCAGAGACATGGGATTCCGCAAGTTAAAGCTCTTTTTGCTTCTACTATGTTGACCAGATGTCGAGCCTTTCCCGGAGGCAGATTTCTCAGCTGCGGACAAAACTGATGGTAGAGAAGATTGGCTCATAAACGGAGAATTAGTTGGCATTGATGTGCTTGCAGACTCGGCTGCTGCGAACGTAGAGGGTTGCTCGGCAGAGTGAGAGCTATAGTTTGGCCGTTGTCCCTTTACCCTCAAGCCAGTAGGCGCAGAGATGGCTGAGGAGCTCTGTCTCCTTCTGGCATCCCTCCTGCTGTCTGCCGATGCGCCCGAGTCCGGCGAGGGCTGGGCCTGCAGGTGTCCGTCAGGACCCGGGGTGCCGCCCTGCGAGGTATTCCCTGCATGCTCTTTTGCAGACGTGGGATGCTGCTTTGACCGCGACGCAATCCTCGGAATGGGAGGAAGTATGGGAGGGAAGGGCGAGACGGGGGAACTAGAGTGGTTGCTTGCATTGTCGTGCAAGCGCGGCGGCGGCGGCGGGATATCCTGGTAGTGGGCGACAGGCGAGTTCACGGAGTTTGCGGACAGCGGTGGCTCGGGGGTGGTAGGCTGCGACGTGGTACGGCGATGGTGCGGGCGCAGGTAGGAGAAGACGTTTGAAGGAGCCATGGCAGCCTCGTGGTGGTCGCTGTCAGACGCTGGGCTCAGGCGGGTCAATTGGGCGGCGGGACGCGCAACGCTCGGCGGAAATTTCGATGGTGAGAAAGGGTCGCACTTCAGCGCGGACGGAGCTCAGCTCTGACGGACATGGTGGTGGTGCTTGGCTCGAGAGCAGGAGGAGAGGAATGAGGCTCTAGCCGGCTCGAGAGATTATTGGGCGGGAAAAGACTTGGAGGGGACTGCGGTGGTGTAGAGGCATGAAACACGTCGCGTCCGAGCTCCAAAGATCCTCTGCACGCTGCGCAACACCCCGGGCGCTAACTGCAGCTAACGCTTTAGCAACACCCTGACTATCACATGCCCCGAACTAGCAACGAGGGGGTATCGACTACACATTATTGTCCCTGTCCGCAACGCCGTAGCCTCATGCTTTGCTGTCACTTGTCCACCCGATGCTGATCCCCGATCGTCCCCGCCACTTAGCTGAAAAAAGTCGAGATCCACCTCAGACCAAAAGGCCCGCCACCAGGCCTATCACCAACACCGCTCCGCCCGGGCCTGCCCTTGCCCTTGTGTTCGCGCCTTGATTGCTCTTTGGCGTGCCCGTGGCGACGTATACGCCCGTTGGCTGCATCGTGACCGTAGTGCTCTCAACCAGGGCGCTGGGATGGCTGGTGCCGCTGGCCGTGCTCGTTATCACACTGATGCTAACACGGGTCGTCGTGCTGTGTATAGGAATGCCCGGTTTGCCCGCTACAATGGTGGATGCCGGCGCCTTGTAGTCGTCCTCATCCTCGTACCAAGCGCCCGCGATGACGACACCTTTGCCAGCATCGATCGCAATCTTCTCCTCCAGCGTGCATGTGTCGCTGATGCTGCGAATCCAACACGTAGCTTTTGGCATGTCACTGTCTGAAGGTTTTTTGTTGCTGTACGTTGCATTCTGCGGTCCAGATGTGCTGAATGTAGACGGATCGTTGATGTCCTCGCCAGTGCTAGGGTTCACGCCTGTAATGATACGCGTGAAGAGCGTGAACGCTGTTTCTGGCTGGTAGGCTGGTATCATGTGGCCAGCATCGTAAATCCGCGAGAAAGACAGGTTGCCAAAGGCCCGCACTGCACCGCCGACGTAGCTATCGTTGACAATAATATCAGCATAGCCGGCTGCAGGAAATTTGGTTGTGTAAGCCGGTACGGAAGCTGCGAGGGCTAGAGATACGGCTTCACCGCCGAGCCAGTTGCAGATAAAGTCGGCATCGCCATAGATGAACGCAACACGAACGTTGAGTTCAAGAAGTGAACGGAGATCTGCAAGTTGCGTGCCGCGCGCTTCGTCCCCACTGTCTGTTGCGAATAACTGAAGGATTTCATCGCTGCTCTGCGTGTAGTTTACCTGGGCACCGATGCTTTTCTGTACACTGGCATAATTCAAGTATTCCTGATAGTTTCCCGAGGGCAATGGGTCCGGAAGTGGCTGCCTAATATCATAGAAACTATGGTTGTAGTTTCCGTATGGATTCATCAACGACCTACATTCTATTACAGCCTTGGAGCATGCGAGATTTACTATGTTGTTGTCTGCCTCGCCTTCTGGATCGAACATTTCGGACTCACTACGACAAACTTTGGTTGATTGTTCGCACCCGCCTGGTTGGGAGTATTGATATATAGCATTGAGCATGGTCGTCGTATCGATCGCTTTGATTCCATAGGTATTGTTGTAGGCAAAGTGTGCATAATATGGTGATTGCACTAGCAAGTCGACTAACCCGTTAAGAATTCCGAGTGAGGATAGCTTGATCTACAGTGAGGAACAGTCAGCTTATTATGTGATGAATTGAACTTGACCTTGAAAGTCCCTTCTCTGATGGGTAAAGTAGCCTCTCAAGGGCATTATAACCCTTGTTGTATGGCTGTCTCATCGGCAAAACTGCAACAGTAATGATAACAGCTTACCTCCAAGGTGAAATTCCGAGGAAGCTCTCCTCTAGCTATTTTCGCATTCTGTTCCTCAAACAGGCCGGCAAACGAAGGCCCGTACATGCCACCATAGCTCTCCGCGAAAAGATTGACACCAACAGGCTCAACAGTCGTACTGTTTGGTTTGACACCAGGATTGTACTGCGGGAAGGTGGCCAAAAATGTCTGCAAGAAGTGCCAGACCGCATGGGCTGCAATTTCAGTGGTATTCGTCGTGCCCCACATGTTACCACTTCCGAACGTCCCGTTAAGGAAAATATAAGCTGGTGTATCGTCCGGAAGAGGCTGAGGAGGGAGCTTGTCCTTAAGAGGGTCGGCAGGATTTAAATCAATTGAAAACTCGGTGGCCTTGTCAAAGGAAAATCCTACTTGGCTGGGCTGATCAACGTAGAGAATGTTGGAGCTTCGGTCCCAGCCCCAATCTCTTGCTTTCGTGCCATAAGTACCATCGGCCAACTGCACAATTTCACATGGTCCGTTTTCCCCAAATAGGCCGATCATACTACTGCTGCCTGGGCCACCGTTGAGCCATATAGTGAGTGGCGCATTTTCGGGGTTCTGGCGTGCTTCGATAAACCAGAAGAAAGTATTGATGGTGTAGTTTTGCTGAATAGGTTCAAGGGTGTAAGGTGGAAGGCTGATGTAGCCAGTGTACTGCTTTTGCGTGTCGAAAACGGTCGTGCATGTTCCGGGCTCCGGAGACTTGAAGGCTACGGTGATGTTGGGGTTGATAGGAGATTTCGTGACGTTCGAGTAGGTGACCGGAGGGATAAATTGGGCCGCAGTGAATGAGAGACAAGTAAGAATGAAGAAAGAGAGAGGCTGGGAGAAGAGCTAGCGATCGATTAGCCGCAGGGCCGGTTGAAGAGGCCGAGAGATAGTAGCGCGTACCATTGTCACGGCAGCCCGGAGGAATAGCGAGTTGTCAGAGCATGTGAGACGGAGCCAAGGAAAGGACAGCGGCCAACAAATAGAAAACTGGGCAAGAGCAAGGCAGTCGGTCGCGATCAGAAGCAGACAACGAGCATGAAAGGCGGAAGCAGCGCTGAGGTGATTGACGCGCGGAGACCGTTGGGTGGCGCGTGGGCTAGGTAAAGTTCGGGAAGGTGGCAGGGGTCCCGTCCGCGCGCCAGGGGTTGAGCCAAGCGTCAGCCTACATCAGTCCTTTTGTCCTCTCGGATAACATCAATCATCAATAGACATTTGTAGTTTTGCGTCGGTGAGTAACAAAGTCTGGTAGCTGCATCCAGATAACCCGGATTTCTCGGCTTCGACAATGGCTGCCACCGCCCCCTCCCCCTCCACCCTCATCCACAAAGCCCAAGCATACGTCCAATCCTACATGGCGCAATTCGACGCCTCCCACGACCACGCGCACATACTCCGCGTCCAGCGTCTCGCACACAGAATCCTCGCCTCAGAACAACAGCGCCACCCCACCACCACCTACGACACCACTCTCATCACGCTCGGCGCGCTCCTCCACGACGTCGGCGACCGAAAATACGCTCCCCCCGACGCCGACCCCACCACCATGGTCAGCAGCTTCCTCCTATCCGCTGGCGCATCCCCTGTCCTCGCGTCCCGCGTCCAGCAGCTCGTCTCGCACGTGTCCTTTTCGCATGAGAAGCGTAACCCCGACGCCGTGTGCGCGCTGTTGGCCACAATGCCCGAGCTGGGCATCGTGCAGGATGCAGACCGGCTGGACGCGCTGGGCGCGGTGGGCATTGGGCGGTGCTTTGCGTTTGCGGGAGCGAAGGGCCGGCCGGGTGAGGAGGATGGGCTAGGTGCTGCTGTGAGGCATTTTGAGGAGAAGTTGGAGAGGTTAGAGGGGTTGATGAAGACGGAGAGTGGGAGGGAGTTGGCGCGGGTACGGGCGGAAAGGTTGAAGGTGTTTAGAGGGTGGTGGGAGGAGGAGACGGGAGAGGGATTGGCTAGGTTTGCTGGGTGAAGTGAGTAAGTGGTGGGCTAGATCTGGGCCGTATTTCATTGCTTGGAGGTATACTCATAGACCGACTCACCCATGTCCAAAACATGCTCGAGAGTGCAGCGGTTTAGAAGCCACTGAAAGATTATATCATCCCATCACCTGTTTTCAGCTGTTAATGTTTAATAGCAGACAAAGGGCACGAGTTGGGTTATCCGCATTGCAATAGCATCAGATCGGCGCGTTAATTCTGTAGCTCCAGAGTACTTGGGTCAAACTAACTTATAGTGTGCTTAGGGGCTCTTATCAACTGTTGCTACGACGAGGGAGCAGATGACGGTTGAGGTATTGTCTTGCACAGAAACCTCGTATGCACTCAGAGGCCTTCAAGCGTGAAATCGGACCAAGTAGAATATCAGAAGGCTTAGTTTTGGGATCCTACCATTACAAGCTCAAGCGGCAGTTTGATTAGTAAGGAATTAGCGTTGATAGTCGGGCGGTTGAGTAGCCACCCTTAAGTTCCTTAACATAGGTCGTGTGGACCACTCCCGGACAAGGATAGCCTAGATCTTATTGTCAGGCCAAAATGCCTTGAGCGACCGACCGCTGACAGTTCTTTTTTCGCTGATTGTATCGCAGTGAGCAGTGAAGCCTATGATCGCACTTTGACGGCTAATATCAAGAGGGTGTATGTGGTGTTCACCACTGAGGCGAATGAAGAACGATAAAGTGTAACGTCATGTTCCCAGATAAAAGTTGGATGATAAAGCGAGGTCAGTGACACCGGTGGAGTTACTCGTTTATATCTATGTCAAGATACATGAAGGTACAACCTGTATCTTTATTTGAGTTTATTGTTTCCTCAGTGATCAGTATGAGAGGGGTCACGTTTACCTCCATTAATGTCATTCGCCATATAAATTGAAGGGGACTTGGTAAGGATTGAAGACGGATATTTTATCAACAAGAACAAAATTTTGCGTGTCAAATCAGTGTGCGCAAGTGCTTTGCCGCAAAGCCAACTGATACGTTATTTGGCCAATAAAGTAGAATATATATCCAGGTTATATCTCGCTCCATTAGGCATTCTGGTGCAAACGCACCACTTTTAGTGCGCGAGTAATGGGAAGACGAACAACAACCCTAGAAGTTGCTTATAAGGCAGTTCGAGGGCAAAGGGACAAGCTTCCCTACTCGTAGCCTGCCATTGGTTACAATAATAGCTCCTTTTCTGGCAAAAGACATCCTTTCCTTCACGACCAATTGACCATAACTCGCGTAGTTGTGATCGATGAGGCGTCAACAGACAGGGCTCAGCGGTCCGAGCCGCAGTCTGGGGTGTAGGATCCTACGGAATGCCGTTCCATCACCACCACCACCGTCATCACCACGAATCGAGGTGTTGACCCCAAACTGACAGCATACAATAAGCAGCGCGGTCGAGGGTTGCATCGCCAAGTGCCGACAACAGCTGCCGCACTGACGAAGGAACTGCCAAGGGCGTTACAACAAGCGAATTGTAAACAGAAAAGTGTTCGGGACGCCGGCTGACGCAGAGTGCCGGATCGAGTCCGTGCCGCGGGTATACGCAATGACAGGGAACCCGGCTCGGAGCTTCCCCCGTGAATTTACGCCAGTGCGTTTAGCTTCCACGCTTGCCCTGTTCCAGTAGCTGTGCGCTGGTCAGTACGGGCGTATTCCTGGTTGTGACGATGGTGGTGAAGGTTGCGGCACAGGTGGCAGGGTCTCGTCTCAGACATGGCAAACGAGTGCCGGATTTAGGGTGTCGGGGTCAAGCGTAAACGCTTTGTCCGCACTCCGCAGCCGGATGCTGACCGCTCGAGGTCCATGGTCCAGACCCGGGGAGCTGAAGACGGCGTGGATGCGCTGGAGGCGAGTCGGCCTTGGCCGAAGTCGACGACGTCAGACGCCATGGGGAAAAAAGAAAAAAGCATCTCCCCAAGCACGAAGAAATGCTGCGAGTTGTGAAGAAATGCATACGCTAAGGGAGGCCGGTGACGTAAGCCAGGGAGAAAAGCACCGTGTGAGGGAAAGTGAAGGCGAGAGCCTGTTTGAGCATCGACGGCATCAAGGGGAAGAAGCATGACCTGCAGGGCGCGGCTCTTCCAGGACTGTCAGTTTCAGTGGAGCATCAACGGGCTCTGAGTCGTGCCTGTGACCCCAATCGGGCCGGGTGGTGAATGCGACAACATCCTTCCGGTCTTGCCTACTGAAGAGCTCATGCTTTTCGCCTCTAGGGCTCTAGGGTGGAGCGACGTTGGCATAGGTTATCAGTCCTCGGGCCGCGCACAAACTGGCTAACAAGCACTACACTCCTGCGCTGGACTCTGCCTGCTGCGTCGAGTCTCGTCTCGCTTTCGGCCCTCGAGCACTGACGACGCGTAGGCAGGGCCTGTACGCAGATCGGATGTGCACCACCCCGCCCTTGTCGACGGTCTGGAATTATTCCACAAACTCGCACGACTCAATCTCTCTCCTTCCACCACCTCGCGCCCAAAGACTCGCTTGTCTGGTGCCTCACGAGGCTGCGCCGGCACCATGGTCTACCCGGAGGCGGCACGAGAGCGGGATCTGCACAGGTGCGAGCCATCGCCCGCTTTACTACTCGTCCCATCGTCAGGACTGCACTCACCCAGCACCGCAGATACTACCAGCCATGGCTCGATGCGCAATCCCTCGTCAATGTCAACAACCAGGGCGCTGACCTTGCCCTCACCTACAAGGGCTTTCGCGCCCAGCCCTCCCGCGACAAGGCCCTCACGGCCTTTGCCCAGCTCGCCACCCTGCGACTGCAAGTGCGCCGCGCCATGGTCTCGCTGATAGATTCGCATCAGCAATACATTCTCGCCGAAGCTACGAAGACCCTGTCGCTCCTCGCTGACAACCGACACGAGCCGGGAGATCATATCTGGCTTGGCAACACTGTCATCTCCAGGCAAGATGGCGTCGAGCAACACGCCTTCGATTCGCGCTACACAGCCTCCGACGAAGAGGGCAATACATACACTGCTGAGGCTCTGGTGATCCCCGACATGACCTTGGATGAGAAGTTTAAGGATTGGGAAATTGTCCACGCAAAGCCTGGCGTCCAGTTCTACGCAGGCATACCAATCCGAACCAGGGCTGGCCACAGAATCGGCGTCTATTCCGTTTCGGATGAGAATCCCCGTCCGCAGGGATTGACAATCGATGAGGTTAAGTTTATGCAAGATGTCGCTGCCACTATTATGGAGCACCTCGAAATGGCCAAAGACCGCGATGACCGTAACAAGGGTGAGCGTATGGTCCGTGGTCTAGCAGATTTCATCGAAGGTGTCCCCGTTGTGGATCAACATCCTCGGTCTGGTTCCAGCCCAGCCCTCCAGCCCGTCCAAAATGAAGAAACGAACGGAGACAGCTTCGGCCTTATGAGAAGCCCCTCACTCCGGAGCAGCCACTCGTCAACACTGAAGAGACAGACTGAAAATGCCCGCATCGAGGAACTCGAGCCACCAAAGCCATCCAAGTCTTCAGAAGTACGCAGTCCGGCTAACTTGCCCCCACCTACCCCAACTGGCGCTACCCGTTTGCATCGGGAAGACAGCGAGGACGATACTACGCAGGTTTTCTACCGTGCAGCTGCCATCATGCGGGCTTCGACTGGCGCGGATGGTGTTGTGTTCTTTGGGACCGTTTCTAGCGACATCAAAGGCGCTCCAACTGCCATGCCAGCTGGCCACCACGAACCGAGTGATGATTCCCAGACCTCAGACAGCGGGCCCCCTTCAAGCTCCGGAGACGGCCGTCTGAACAGGAGAATGAAGCGGTCGCCACAGGCTCCCAGTAGCGTGCCCAAGGAAATTTCCGGGGAAGAAAACATTCGCCCAGACAAATTCTGTGAAGTAATCGGCCTATCGACGGACCAGAGGACGCCGAGAGAGGATCCAGTAACCGAGAAGACTTTCAACTTTTCTGAGCGTAGCATGGAACGTTACATTAAAAGATTTCCTTACGGGAAATTCTTTAGTTTTACTGACCAAGGTGCTGGCATTTCGTCCGATGAGAGGTCGGAGCCAGAATTAAAACTCCGGGTCGTCCTCCCCACACCCGACTTACCACAAAAGAAAAAGAAGAAGGAAACACTAATCCCGACAGAGCTTCTAAAGGTGCTGCCTGGCATAAGGAGTCTCATCTTCCTTCCTATGTGGGATCCAACTGTGGAGAAATGGATTGCCGGTGCTTTTATCTGGACCTCAACGGCTGGTCGGTTGATGAGCCCAGATAACGAGCTGCCCTATCTCAAGGCATTTGGAAACAGTATAATGAGCGAAGTTTCTAGAGTAAACGCACAAAAAGCAGATAGAGCGAAAACTACGTTCATTGCTTCTATAAGCCATGAGCTTCGTTCTCCCCTCCACGGCATTCTGGGAAGTGTCGAGTTTCTTCACGACACGGCAACCACATCATATCAGGCATCCCTCTTCACGTCCATCGAAATCTGCGGCAAGACTCTCTTGGACACCATAGACCACGTTCTGGACTACGCCAAGATTAATAAGCTTGGTAGAGCCCACAAACGGAAGAAACACGAAGCTCGGTTCAAGTCGATAAGTGGCAATACTGACAATTCAGTCATGGGTGTTACCGCCGAGTTCGATCTGAGCGCTCTAGTTGAAGAGGTTGTAGAGGCTGTGTGCGCGGGTGACGCCTTCAAGAAAGCTCACACCGGAGCATTCCATGATTCGGGCTCCTCCATGAAGCTCATGAGATCAACCTCTGATGCTTTCGTCAAGGACTCGGTAGACAACACGCCGAAACCCGACAATGGTCCAGTCACTATCCTCCTCAATGTCTATCCTACCGGAGGCTGGAACGTCAAGACGCAGCCGGGTGCTTTGAGACGGATTGTCATGAACATTCTCGGCAACGCTTTGAAGTACACGGCTAGTGGTCATGTTACCGTCAACCTTTCAGCATCAAAATCGAACGATCCCTCAAAGTTGGAAGCGCATCTCCGTATCGTAGACACTGGTATAGGCATGTCGATGGAATACCAAAGAACACGCCTCTTTTCGCCTTTCTCGCAGGAAGATCCTTTCGCCGTAGGCACTGGGCTGGGTCTAAGTATCGTCCGGCAGATCATTGATTCATTGGGCGGCTCCATCGATGTCAGAAGCATGAAGAATGTAGGAACAGAAGTGGACGTCTTCTTGAGCCTGCCGCTGAGTGCCCAGCAAGCGAAGAATCCTGAAAGCAGTATAATGCCGTCTTCTCTTTCCACCAAGGGCATGAAGACTTGCCTCCTTATACCGGAAACGCGTTCCATGCAAGGAATCTACCAAGACGACAACCGCCTAATTTCCTCTTTCAGCGAAACCTGTCACAACTGGTTCGATATGGATGTCATTGAAACGCCGAAGATCAATGAAATCGATGCAGAAATATTTTTCGTTACCGAGCCTTCGCTGGTTGATACATTATTTCAGTTCCACGCAAGCAAAACCGGCACTTCCCCGTTGGTTATTGTTTGTCGGAACCCTTCAGAAGAGATTGCGCTCAAGGAAAGAGAAGGACATCGTCTCGCGGCCCTTGGTCGGCACGTGGAAGTCGTCTCGCAACCGTAAGTATCTTTTTGTCTTCCGAACCCTTGCAGGTTGTGGTATTCATATGAGAATTTTCGTAAAACATACTGACATTAATTACAGGTGCGGCCCGCGCAAATTGGCACGGATTATTTACAATTGTTTGAAGAGTCGGTACGGAGGATCAGATAAACCCCCCATCAGTCGAGCCATTACGTCTCCACCCGCTCTGCCCAATCAACAAGAATCGCGAGGAGAGTCGCAAGACGATCCTCCCATCCAGCATCGCACGATACCAGTCCGCAGCCTAAGCGGGAGCGAAGCGCACTCCGGCCTCGAAGTTCCCGAGCGCAGCCTCCTCCGCGACGCAATCCGAACATCCAACCTCGCCAAAGCCGAAACGAACACATCGACACCAGCACCGGTATCGGAGAAAGACCTCCCACCCAAATCGGAGACTGACGGCGCGCTACGCATCCTGGTCGTGGACGACAACCCCATCAACCTGCAACTGCTGGTCATGTTCATGAAGAAGCACGCGTACTCGTACACGGAAGCCATCAACGGGCTCGAAGCTTTTGAGCGCTACAAGGAGGCGACGCAGCCGGCGCTGGAGACTACGGCATCGCCGGGTGCGCGCCGCAGCTTCGACTACGTCCTCATGGACATTAGCATGCCGGTGATGGACGGGCTGGCCAGCACCCGTGAGATCAGGCGCTTTGAGCAGGAGAACGGGTTGAAGCCTGCGAAGGTGGTGGCGTTGACAGGGCTGGCGAGCGCGCAGGCGCAGGAGGAGGCCATGGGCAGTGGGGTTGATAATTACTTGCCGAAGCCGGTCAAGTTTGCTGAGTTGAGGAAGATGTTGGAACGGGGGTGAAGTGGATGTGGAGGATGGGACCGGGGGATGGTGGGAAGGTGAGAAGGTGAGAGGGAGGGGGGAGGGAGAGAGGGAAGATGTGGGCGTGCGGGCGGGATGGTGTTTTTGAGGGTTTGCGGAGGGGCTTGATGCTGTGGCGGCACTCCTTTGAGAGGAGTATGTCGACGCGGTCAGTCGCATAAAAATCACGAGGGAATGCGCATGTGCACATGTATATTTGGATGGATGGTTGGGTAGGTGGAGTGGTGCATGCTCAAGGTATAAGCCACTAGACAGTTTTTCGACAGCGGCGGTTTGTTGGTTATTTTTCTATCTTCTTCCACCTCCTCTTCCTCTTTTTCTTCTTTTCAACTTCGATTATATAAACATGGGGCCAGCCTCTGATGAGCTGTACTACCCACTCCTCGTAGGCAGAGGTGATGGCCTTGATTGGTTCGTCTGCTTTTTGAAGATCTATTCCCTTTCGATCACTCTTCTTTCTGCCTTCTTTTTCTTTTCACTACTACTACTTCTTTTCGGCGTCTTTCTATTTTTTGTTTTTACTTAGCTTCTTATTTTTCTCTCTACCACTACCACCGCAGTCTTCAACTATCTGTCTGTCTGTCTGTCTTCTTGCCGTTCTCTCGGTTTCCGGCTCCCGGGTATTAATGTTCTGCATGACACGGACTGGCCTGCCTGGTTTGGTTGGCTTTAGGGGTCGTGGTCGTGGTCTTGTCTCGTCGTCGTTCTGGAGGCTGCTGCTGCTGCTTGCGTGCTTGCGTGCTTGTTTCTGGTGCGTAGGTATGCATGCGGCTACACTTCTTCTTCTTCTTCTTCTTCTTCTTCTTCTTCTTCTTCTTCTTCTTCTATGCTATGTGCTGCTGCTGTGTTGGTGCTGCTTACTTGGCTGGTTGGATCTTCTTCCTTTGCTTCTGCACTCGCTGGAAACGGTCGCTATGTAGGGCAAGTTACTCATGCACAGAGCTAGTAGACTCCCGTTCATGGCTTCGTCTGCAGGTCTCGACTGGGCATGGGGTATGGCGGGGTGGGCTGGGATGATGGTTGGATGGATGGATAGTCAGTCGGCTGGTAGTCGTGGTAGTGGTAGTTGACCAGAGAAGAGACTAGAAGGGAGAAGGCGAGGGAGAAAGGAAACTTGGATAATATACACTTAGTACTAGGACTTATTACTATTATCACCATTAATACGAGTTCGCTCTGAGGCGTGGTCGGCTGTCTTGATAGGTTTATGTGTGCGGTATCATTGTATCTGGCATGGCACAAAGACTCAAAAATGCAGCGGAAGAAGGCGCGGAAGACGCGGAGATGGCTGACGATACTATAGTAGCAGGCGCGATACTGGCTTGCGCAACTTGCTATAAATACACATACAACATTTTTGGATGGGATCCGTAGACCAAGCCTTGTTGTACTACAACCCTGTCCGAGGAAAAAGAAATGTGTCGGGAAAGCGGATGCTATTCGGTATAGTTGCGGCTGAAACTCTCTTCACATCCAAAAATGCCGTGAAAGTCGATAATAAAACGGTCTTGAAGAAACGGCTATCTGGGTTGCTCACTCACCAGTATCTCTCAACGCTGCTCGTCACCATCATCTGACAACAATGGCTATTGTACATCTGCAAACGCGATCGCCAGCTATATTGTCTTTGTACCTTACCATTTATTTCACTCCTTCCTTCTTCGTTCTATAGCAGAAAAGGTGAACATATTATCCGCCATTTCCCTTGAGATGTACAGGCCACGACGGAAGAACCATGGGCACGGAATCTAGCCAGGGAACTGGCAGCAGTGATTTGATCACGTTGGATGCAGGGTAGATAGAAAGGAAATGACATATTTAAATAAGTTATATTTAGCCTTCTCGGCTCTTCAAAGCTCACTGACTGTTTGCTTATCCTTTACTTATTTTTGAACCTTACTATTGAGGTTCCTTTACACCTGTTCTGCGTCGTGTATCCGTACTATTCATGAGTGGAACGACACAGACAGATACCATTCTCCTCGTTCACATGCAGCTAAAACTTGGGCAGGCACGCTCCCAGCCCACCTCTCCCCCACAGCTTAAACAGTGCCACATATTTAACCACCTCCTCCTTCAATCACGTATTTACTAAATTAACCAGTTCCACTAACCATCTCCAACTAACGAATTGCTTCTTTAGACGGTCATCCTGTCCTTTTCTGGGATAGTGACGTACTCTACATATCAGTCTCTCAGCCACGCGAGACCGCTGGAGACCAACTCACTCACACCTGATGGAGTCAATCAAGGCCGAGTTCGTCGGCAGACAATGTCTCCCAAGAGAAAGAATTTGCTACACTACACTTAGAGACACTCTGGATTCATTGCACGCTCTCAAGAAGAAATCGACAGCTTTGATATATGAAAATGAGCATGTTCAATCATACTTTGTCAAGCTCTCCTGGTGCGGTTCATGACATGCTCTTTTTCTTCTTTCCTCTTCAGTGTCAGCTAACTCTGGTACTGTATACTAATACCGACCATCAACAGCCGGTAATTGCGATTAACAACACTATCTAGCTAGTTAGCGGCTCCAGCCCTCTGTGCTATCGTACCCTGGGACCAACATCTTGCCTATCATCTTCGGAAGCGCGCCCTATGATATCGATACTGGAAAGTTCTGATCTCATGCTTGGGTTTAAGGTGGTACGTATGACGGCAGGGTACGTGTCGATCTGTTTCTTATCCACCGACTTCTTCTTATAGGGGCGGAGATGGTAATGACTAAGACAGCCAAAAAGGGAAAGAGTAATCAAGCCCTCATTCAATATTTAATCCTACGTATCCACTTGTCCCAACGAAAAAGCACTCTCTTCACCACCTCCGACCCATTTCACACACCCCAAACCACTCGTCGGCGCCGCGGTGCAAAACCCGCATCTAGGCATCCACCTCGCCTTCATCAGCCGCATTATGGCCAGTAGATAACACCCTTAGACAAGTCCTATCCTCGACAATGGGGGCCGCAAGGCGCAGCCACTCGCGCGAAGGGACCGCCTCCTTGGTGCCATTTTTGCTTCGTGTGTGTTTGCCTGGGGATGAGGAATTCACAGTGTTTATAGAACGGAGTTTTTAAAGCGCGGACATATGGAACAGACAGCGGCTTCCATTCACTTAATGATACAACCAGGTCATAAACAGTCACAAAGTGCCTACCCTGAGCCTCGGTTGCAGCCATGCAAGACCTCATTAAAACAAGACTAAAACGCCCACAATCCAGACTCCGATATTTCCACAGCGTGTAATGACGTATCTGCTACCCAATACGTAAGCCAGCACGTTATCCAGTGCATCGAGAGAAAAGCTTAGGCACGTCCGGAATCAAAGCACGACACAAGCTACCGGCGTCCTGGCCATAAACCAAACTCTCCAAGTCAATGACACAGCAAACATCCGATCCGGAAAACATTCCGCGATCGACCGTTTAGTGATACACCTACCTACCTATGGAGATGGTCATCACCACCAACCAGCACCACCCACCAGCACCACCCACCAGCACCACCCACCAGCACCACCCACCAGCACCACTCACCAGCACCACCCACCAACACCACCCAGCCACGCCACTGCGCACCACGTCTAGCCCCCCTCCCCTTTCCACACCTCCAGTCGAACAAACAACCCGACCCAGGCCACAACTCCCCGAACTAACCACTGACGACCGCATCCACCCACCACAACAGTGCATAGTGTCTGCATAATCCAAACAGCTGCTATTGCCGCTGCTCCTGTTGTTGGCGAGGGGCAGTCGTGTAGACTTGTGTGTGCTTTTGTTAAACATGGAAGTGAATGGGACGCTATGACTGGGAGCCCGTCTCCCTCTCTATACCCTCCATAATGCTACGCTAAGGAAGCAAGCAAGCAAGTACGACCAGCAGAAAAGCCGACCCATACCTACTACACGCTACACACATCACACATACATATCACAGCAGAACCAGCAAAAACAAAGCCCACAAAACACGTCCAAGAATGTCCAAGAACAGCAACAACAAGAAGCACACGAAGAATAACTTGATATATACTTTGAAATGATTACCACTGTACGCCTGCCTGCCCGTTCTTCTTTCCTTCGCGTCTTTCCTTCCTTTGCTTTTCCCACCACCCACCCCGTTCATCCATCCAGCAATGCCTAGGTACTTACAACCACTCATCAACCATCTCTCCACCGATCTCAGCACCCCAATTCGTTCAACCGACCGACCAACCGACCATCCCGTTTATTCACTCACTCACTCACTTGCTCACTCGCTCACTCACTCGCTCAGCATCCACAACCCCAACCAAACCCCCAACCCCACCTCTATACACCCCCCTAAGCCCCCCTCCCCTTACACCAACGAACAAACAAACCCCAAACCCAACCAACCTACCTATCCTTCTTCACCCCCTCCCACCCCCCACTAACCTCACTCCCGGGCGTCGTAGCCCCACTCCCCGCACCGCCAATCTCCCACCCAGCACTACTCCTCCGCCTCTGCTGACCACGCTCCCTCATCGCGCCGCGAATCTTACTGCTCACCTCCTCGAACCCGCCCTTCTGATCCAGACTGCTAAAGCCATGGAGGCCGGACAGATTCGCGCCAGAGCTGCTACGACTGCGCGCCTTGAGCGGCGTCGTCGGACGTGTCGCAAACAGCGCGATGTTTCCGAGGTTCTTGAAGCTCTCGTTGCGCGGGAGGCCGCCGCCAGACTCGGCGTGGCTGCCTGTCGGGCTGGCCGGAGCGCTGTCGATGCTGTGGTCCGAGGCGTGGCGCTCGTGCTTGGGCGGCAAGCCCGCGACAGCGCTGAACGGCGAAACCGGCTGCTGGTCCTCGTGGAAGGGGTCGGCGATGATGCGCGCGTGGTCAAAGTCCGGGTACATTTCGGGCCCTAGGTCGTTGATGACGTCGTTGAGCTGGCGCACCAGTGCCGCGCGCGTCTCGCGCAGCCGGTGCAGCGTGTTGTTCGAGCTGGGGTTGAGCGACAGGATCAGCGGCCGCAGCGACTTGACTATGTCCATGCCTACTTCGCCGAATCGCAGCGCCGCGTACGTGATTGTCGGGAAGAAGGCCCAACCGAAGAGCACCACGCCCAAGAGCGGCACGCTGTCCGGCATGTAGCCTTGCACCCGGTTGCGGTACGTCCAGTATGTCAACAGGATCGTGTAGAAGTTGTACAGGACTGGCGCCAGCGCCATCGACACGAGCAGCTTCCATGTTGCCATGACGTCGCGCGCCTGGATCTTGACTGTCGATGCCGCCAGGGCTTCCTTGGACTTCTTGATCGAGATACGCTTGCCGATGATGAAGACGGGCGCGAACAGGATCAGGCCTGGGAGCACGCCGAGGGACAGGAGCGTCAGCTTGGCGACGCGGTACAGCAGCATGAAGACGACCTTGTGGATGGAGAATTTTGCGTATTCGACTTGGTGGTCGCGGATGTTGAGCTGCATGAGCCTCTTGTTGTAGTCAAGCACGGCCTTCTTCAGGTTGACGATGCGCGGGTCGTCCTTGTACTTTGTGTAACCCTTGACCAGTCGGCGGTTCAGCTCGATGACCATCGGCAGCGGAAGCTTCTTGCCCTTGGGGTTGTAGAGACGGCGGACAGCTTGGATCAACTGTTTACGTTAGTTAGCGCTTGAGCCATGCAAATCCGAACCGAAAAGCATACCATCAGTGTATCGTAGTCAGGGCTGGTCACAGTCACCGCAACGAGAGCGTTGTAGACGTGCTCCAAAAGACGTCCAACGGCCTCCCTACGCTCGCCCTTCTTGTAGAGATCAATAAGCTCAGGAGGAATGTCGACCGGCGTTCCGAACTCGATGACGGCCCGCGAACGGAACTTGTGAGCGTGGAAGTAGTTCATGCCGACGGGCACAATCTTCAGGCCGCTTTCCGGGTTGGCTGCAAGAGCGCCGAGCGCCATGATGGCAACACCAGCTGCAAGAAATTAGCCTCACATCCAACCACAATAATCATGCGACGCACCTTTGAGTGGAAGCAGCTCGGTCCGGTCGTGGCTACCACCCTCCGGGAAGATACCAACACAGCCGCCATCGTTCAGCTTCTCAAAAACGGCATCGTAGACCTTGCTCTGGTCGACCTTAGGCGCGACCTTGAACTTGGTGCCCTCGAAGCCGTCAGCGGGGCCGGTTCTGCCGTCGCCGTTCATAATCTTGCCATCCTCGCTGATGTCGTCGCGCCCAGTGAGCTGCTTCAGAGCCACAGCGCCCTTGAACGGCTTCTTAACCCTAATCTCCTCGGGGCCGTGGACCTCTAGAATCTCCGCGTTGGCCGCCGTGTTGTTGACGCTCGGCAAGACGACCAGCCCGCCGACCTGGAAATCCTTGCCCTCAAAGTTTGTGCCCACGCCGCGAACCAGCGTCGGGTCGTTGACCGGGTCTGGGAGGTAAATCTTGCCCTCGGCGGGCCTGGTGCTGTCCATGGCTCTGCCGACGGGCAGCGCGCCGACGTTGCGCGCAAACCACCCGATGAACTTTCGGCGCATCGACTTCTCGGCGATGAGGAAACAAATGCGGCGCTGCGACTCCATGCGCACGACGCGCATCAGAATTAGAGGGTCCACGAACTGTGTCCCGGTTAGCTCAAGCAACTCCAAGGTTCCTCCTCCTTCTCCTCCTATGCGCGCATACCTGGTTGGCATGAGGCGCCGCGACGAAGATGACGGGGCCGTTGCGCGGCACTTTCCAAGAGCTCCTAGGATGCACCTCGCGGAAGAAAAGGTCGACGAGGATAGAAAAAGTCCATAGCAGAATATCGTAGACAAAGTTGTTCATAGGGGCCAGTTTCCTGGCCACTGAACTCCTGGACGAAGCCATGTTTTCCTGCGGCATGGCGAAGCCGCTGTTCAACGCTCCAGCGTGGGAGGTGGTGAAGTATAAGAATGCGCGGCGCGTGTGAGGGTCGTCGGTGGTCGGGGAATGGGATGCGGCGCAGCGTGGTTCGATATGTGGTGATGTCTGACAGTCAGGGTCGTGGCAATATAATTGCGAGTGGGTGCACGCGCTGGCAGGGTCCAGGCAGAAAGAGAGCAACGTATTTATTGCGTTTGGCTAGCTCATTCGCGACGAACCTAGGCGGGCGGCGGCGGGGAACGGCAAAGGCCCGACCATCCCTGCTCGCTCGGTGACGTTCCATCGAGATTCCATCAGAAACCTACAAAGTGTTGGTTCTCAACAACGAGACCAAGTCTGACTTCATAGGTACATACGTATGCATGCGCGTCGCACCCGCCCCCCGGACACACTGCCCCGTCCTGGCAGCCCGCCTCCGTCCGGCCGCGGGCCTCCGGCTTGCATCCAGTTTCTATTCGCAGCAATCCCCCGTCCATGGCCGTGCACTCGGGTCAGATCATCTCTCTTCATATGCACCTATTCCATTCCGTGCCCGACGCTTCCCTCCCGATGCTACAATATAATGCAAGCCTTATAAAAGACCGAGAGAAAGCCGGCTTCTTCTCCCTCAGCGCGCGGGGCGTCATTGCGCCAACGTTCCCCGCATCCCGCTATACCAACGCCATGCATAGCCGCACTCGGCTCTTGCACTCTAGTTCCCCGCCCTCCCCAACTACCTCGCTTCCGCTCCCTGTCTCGTATCTGCTAATTAGTCTTCCTTTTCTCCTTTATCCCCTCAACCTCACCGACCATCCATGCCATTGGATCCGGGGAGCCCCGATCCTGGGCCGGGCGCCGGCGAGTTGCCGCCTTGGTTCCCGCTTCCCGGTATCGCCGGCGGCAGGAACGTCTCGGGAAGCTTGATGGGCAGACTGAAATCGCTCTTTAACCTGTCCGGCAGCTTCTCGCCCCGCACAGCCATCTCCATCTCGTCCTTAGTCAAGCTCTCGTTCTCCACAAGAGCATTGGCCAGACGGTCAAGCTCGAGGCGACGTTCCGTGAGGAGCGCCCGCGCACGATCCCGAGACGCATCCAGGATCTTGCGCACCTCGTCCTCGATCTTGTTCTTGGTCTCGGACGAGAGGCGCGAGAAGTTGCTGTAGAGATCAATGTTGCCCAGTTCGTCACTCATGCCCATCTGTGTGACCATGGCGTACGCCATGGCAGTCGCCTTTTGGATGTCGCTGGAGGCGCCAGACGTCACGTGGTCTGGTCCATATACAAGCTCCTCAGCGACCTTACCGCCCATGCAGACGTCAATGTGCGCAAGATATTCCAACTTGGTCTGACTAACACGATCCATTTCGGGCAGCTGGAAGGTGATACCGAGAGCATGTCCGCGAGGCATGATGGTAGCCTTGTAGAGGGGATCCGTGTGCTTGGTGAACATGGCAACCAGAGCGTGGCCGCCCTCGTGGTACGCCGTAGCAATCTTGTCCTTCTCCTGGATGATAGCAGAACGACGCTCAGCGCCCAGCAAGATCTTGTCCTTGGCCCATTCGAAGTCAATCATAGTAACCCTCTTTTGCTTGTTCTTGGAAGCATGCACGGCGGCCTGGTTCACAATGTTCTCGAGTTCCGCACCGCTGAAGCCAGGGGTACCACGCGCAATGACATCAGAGTCGACGTCAGTTCCGGTCTGGATGTTCCTCATGTGGTGCTTCAAAATAGCAGAGCGGCCACGGACATCGGGAAGAGGGACGACGACGTTACGGTCGAAGCGGCCAGGACGAGTCAGAGCCTTGTCGAGGAGTTCCGGGAAGTTGGTTGCGGCAATGAAGATAACACCAGAGTTCTGCTCGAAACCGTCGAGTTCCGTGAGAAGCTGGTTGAGAGTCTGCTTGACGTAGGCGTGATCCCTGTCGTTGCGCTTGCCACCAATGGCATCCAGCTCATCAACGAACACAATTGCAGGGGCCTTGTTCTTGGCGGCGTCAAAGAGTTCCCTCACACGCTTAGCACCAACACCGACGTAGACCTCGTCGAATTCGGAGCCAGACATGTAGAAGAATGGAACACCGGCCTCACCAGCGACGGCGCGAGCGAGGAGAGTCTTACCAGTACCGGGAGGACCAACCAGGAGAACACCCTTGGGGAGCTTGCCACCGAGCGCGTTGAACTTGTCAGGGGCCTTGAGGAAGTCGACGAGCTCCTGGAGCTCCTCCTTTGCCTCTTCGCAGCCGTGAACGTCGCTAAACCGAGTAGTCTGGAGCTCTGGCTTTGCCTCCATATCCTGCTTCGAGCCGCGCCTTTGCAGCAAGCCGCTAGCCTCGACAACAAGAGTGACAGTGACGAAGGTAATATAGGTCAAAAGACCGAACCAGAGGAAGAATTTGATCCACTTAAAGATGGTGCTGCCGGTAGATTCGTCCACGACGACATAGAGCGGGCTTGCCCTGTCGCCGGTACCACTACGAGCGGTAGCCACATTCCCGCCGCGAACGCGCGCGCCCACGGCTTGTCCGATAGACTGAATCTGATCCATTCCAAGGCCAGTGGATTGTCCCCCGGGAGCGGCATTGTTTGCTATACCGGCATTTTCCGATTGACCGACCCTCTCCAAGGCGCGCATGTACATAGTGTCGCAGGCGGGGTTAGTAGCAAACCTGCCAGTCTGGTACCGCTCGACGACGAGCTGCGGCAGATTGGCGCGGAGAAGAGCAGAGTAGAAGGCATTCTGAGCAGTGGCGCTGTGGGGGTTGTTGTTCGCAGTTTGTTCCATGTGTGCCAGAAGATTCCGAGAAGTGTTGCCGCCGAAGATGGTGCGCTGTTGAGTCAGACCGAGAAGACCAGACCTTGGGATAGCGTTCAGCTTCAAGGGACCGAGATGAGTAAGAGTAGAGTATTGCCGAGTAGGGAGGGTATGAGAAAGCGGGCTAAACCGCCTCAACGCGCTCGAAGAAACTTCAAAATATTAGCAATCTGTGCGCCAAATATCCCCAACACGAGAATTGTGTTGCCTAACGTGGGCGAATGTTCACGACTCACCTTGCGAAAGCATGCCAGCCACAGTTGGAGATGAACCAAATGCGCCGGACGACGGACGGAATCGCAAAGCCGACACCGGTACCGAAGCCAAGCAGTCCGGAACGGCAACCTGATGCCTATCAGCAACTATATAATCCCTTCAACCGATTATACACGTACATTTGCCGTCGGTGGTTGCGAGGTGTGCAGCGCGCGCTCATTGGCGTGCTGTTTCGATGCGATAGGTGGCGTAGGACGTTTGAAGGCGCGCCAGGGTGCCTGCAGGGCAGCAGACATTGACGGCCAGAGCTCATTGGTAGCAGAGGCGATGGCCTAGGCGTGGGTTGTCAGTCGACGGTACCGGCATTGCAGATGCGCATCCACGGGCGACCTTACCTGAGTGCTGACCGGAGCCTGGAAAGCCATGGCTGTCGGAAATGCGGCGGCCTCTGCCGCGAAGCGGTAAAGAGAGACGACTATGAAATGGATATAAAAAGAAAGGGTATGCGCCGCTGGTGTGGGGAGCGCTGGAATATGGAGGCGAATTCGCTCGCTGGAGCGGCGATGTGGTGGTGACGAAGGAGAAGTTGCGCGCCTCCGATGATAGAACCACTGGGGCTTGGCGGTGCTGTGTCATTCGTGGCAAGCCGCCGCTGATCTCCGCCTGGCCCGCGATCCTCCATCGCTCCGCACTTGTCGTTCAACCAACCAGCTCTGACTGGTTTGCGGAGACCAGACGTGCCATTCAGTATTTCCCGAGAAAATATCACATGTATTTCGGCGCTAGTAATACTCGTCCCCATACGACCGACTCCCCGCATCCACCATGAGCTTGTCCAGCGCCTTGGCTACTATGCGCTCCTCCGTCGTCCCGGCACTGGTGACCCACTCGTGCAGCGAACGCACCCAAATCTCAGCTTCCTGCGGCGCCGCCGGTACCCAGAGATCCGATCCCCGCGATGTGCTGCTGCGCTTAGACCGAGTCACGCTTCTCCTACTGGCGTGGTGATGCTGATGTTGCTCTGGCTCTGTCTTTGGCTGTGGCGGCGGTGGGTGGATGTTGCGAGAAACCATCGAAGGCATTGCTTTTGCAGCCGTGTCCTGCCGAATGCGTTAACTATGTACTCAGTCCTCTCAATGGGTTCCGAGACTTACGACGTAGCGTTTTTCTCTGTCACCCGGGAACCCCTCTGCAGGAGCGTTGCGGGAGACCATCGAGGGCGCTGCTTTGGCGGCCGTATCCTGAAGCCCATGTCAGCGACTGATGATACTCACTCCGCGTTTGATTTGCAATACTCACGACATAGCGCCTCGCCTCACTAGTTATCTGCGGGGCCGCGAGCGCGCAGCTAATTGTAAAAGCGTTGGCGAAAATGGCGAGTTTCATCATGCAGCCAAGAACGAGAAAGAAATAACAGTGACTATAGTAAAAAGTGAACGAGATCGTTAAGGTATCGAGCGGAGATCAATCAAAAGAATGGAAGCAAACTTCAAAGAATTCGAGAATGAGCAGGACCGGCTGCTGGATTACCCTAACCCACGCAAGGCGTGCTCGGGATATATGTCACTGGCGCAGAACTACCCCAGCACCGCTACGTCAACCTTATCGCTCTGTTCCACTGCCAAACATGGTTGGATGTACACTGTATACGTACACCCATCGGCTCCCGCTGTATCACATCGTCGATACCATCTCTCTTCGCCGAGATCGTCCGGCCTCGAGCCGGCAATCGCTGCCTGGACGCCTGGGGGATTTCCAGGCGCGGAAGGGCCATGAGCATCCGGCTGACGGACTTGTCTGTGGCGGCGGCTCGAGCCTCAGAGCGAGTGTCAGATCGGTCTCAGACGACAGTCCAAGTCCAGACTGTTGATAGCCACGGGTGCCTTAGCGAAAGGACCATGCGCCAATCACGATCTCGCGCGTGCAGAGGATTCTAGAAGGCGAGAGCAAATCAGAGGGGTCTGAATAAGGTCATAAGCAAAGTATTACCCGATCGGGCATGCTGAAACCGCATGGCAGATCCGAGGCTCTTCCACCACCACATCGGTTTCATCGGCGTCTGTGACTGCGCTGCAACAACAGACACACGCCCTTGCTGCTACTTTCTCGGCTGCAGGCTCCGCGGCGCCGCGCTGAAACCCATCTGGCAATCATGCACTCGCCGGCAGTAAGGCCGCAACAGTCACGCCAGCAAGCTCTCCAGCACCGCATGTGTGTATCTATGTAAGCCCCAGGTGCCCAGCATAGCACATCAATTCCTCAGTCAGACACATTCGCTTGCACGACCACGAGCACCACCAACATCGCTACCTATACACTCACTCTCACTCCACTTCCATCACCAACCATGGACAGCCGCTACGCACAAATCGACGCGGCCGAAAAAGAGCGCCTGCCGCGCGCCTCCTCAGAATCAGACATTACGCTGCTGGACCACGGCGAGAGCAAGACGCGCGTGCGGCTCGGCCCGCTGTGGCTCTGGATCCTGCAAGTTGCGCTGCTGCTCACGTCGCTGGTCTTCTTCGCCGCGGGCTTGGTGATACGGCCGTCGACGCGCACATACGTTGAGCGCTTTTCCGCGTGGAGTATGTCATATCTTTCCTTCTCTCTATCTCTTCCTCTTTTACTTTTACGATAGCTGTGGCGCAAGGAGCACTAACGCGCACACGCAGCCCCCGCCGCCGAAGCAATCTCCTACCACACCACGATCCTCAACTCCACCGACGTGTACTCCTCGCCCTACGCGGGCGCCGGGCCCGAAGTCGACCACGCCTGGGAGCACATCACCACGCACCGTAAGCACCACCCCTCCCACGCCCCCAAACCCCCAAAGCCAAACCCCCAAACTAACGCCCCACCCCCAAGTCGGCGACCAGGCAATCTCCGCCGCCGAACTCGCCAACCTCAACAAATCCGCAGCGACGCACCTGCGCACGCCCGACAACGCAGCCACAGGCGCCCCGGCCGGCTTCCGCGTCGAGCTCGCCGTCGCGCATCACCTGCACTGCCTGAACCTGCTGCGCCAGGCCGTACACCCGGAAGCGTACAGCGCGCCGCAGGGGGGCGAGTACCGGCATGGGGCAGCGCTGATGACGGAGCGGGAGAAGCGGGCGCATTTGGACCACTGCATCGAGTCCCTCCGCCAAAAACTCACCTGCGACGCCGACGTCTCGGTGCTGACCTACTTCGCCGAGCCCGACATGCACGGCGCCCTGCGTCCGGACTACGCGTCTTCGGCCGTGTGTCGGGATTTCGAGCGCGTGCGCGCTTGGGCGGTCGCGAACAAGGTTGCGGATAAGGAGGTTTTTTAGTGCGGCTGCTGCTGCTGCTGCTGCTGCTGGCTTGCACTGTGCGTGTTTGGGTTTGAAGAGATGAGGACGGAGAGGAAGTTGCGGTTGACCTTGCTTACTTTGCTTATCTTGCATATATTTACCTGCGCGGACAGGCAGACAGACGACGACGTAACGATAGATCTAACAGACACACGCGCACACACGTACGCACGACGCGCGGCGAGGGCCTGGTGCCTGCCGCTCGCGTGAGCGTAGCGTAGCGCTGTGTGTGTGTACAATATGAATTCATGGCATTATATAATATATCCATTACTGTATACCTAGACACACTCACTTCTCCTTCTTGCTTCTCTCTTCAGTGGCGCATGTTTACATGATGAAATAAAATGATGGACCAGGCGGAGACAGATATTTGATACCTACTGTAGGAAACTAGGAAACAAACAAGGCCTGCGGCATTTCATTTCATTCTCAGCGAACAACAGGTATGAGCAAACAACAAGCAAGTGAGCAAGCAAGCAAGCAAGCGGACAAGCCAAGCGTCGACCCCACGAGAGAGCCGAGCACCCGCTCGCTCGCCCAAGAAACAAACGCCTCCCATGCAGGACCCATTCGTGCAGCCAGCCGGCCGTATGTAGCACACACACGCATTATACACGCCCAACGCCAAGCCCCCACAGCACGCAAACCTACCTCCTCCCACGCCCCGCACCCGCACCCCCACCACCACCGCCCATCATGCCGCCCAGCCCGCCGCCCATACCCCCCAGCATACTCATCATCTTGCCCATATCCATGCCACTGAGATCGGGCATGCCGCCAGGGCCACCGGGCCCGCCGCCGCCGCCCCCTCCCAGCATCTTCATCAGGGACCCCATATCAGGCATGCCGCCCATGCCGCCCATGCCGCCCATACCGGGCAGGGCGCCGGGGCCACCCATGGCCTGCAGCCGCTTCAGCGCCGCGGCTTGCTGCTGCTTGTTGCCGAGCGCGGCCTGGCCCTGCTTGCTCTGCAGGTTCTTCATGCCGCGGCCCATCTTCTTGGCCATGCCGCCCATGAGCATGCGCTGCGAGAGCAGCTCCTCGACCTCGCGCACCGACGTCCCCGACCCCATGGCCACGCGCGTCATGCGCGCTGGTTGGTCCGTGAAGCATTTGCCGTCGCTGTCGAGCTCTTTGGTTGTCATGCTGTCGCAAATGTAGATCATGCGCTTGAGCTTCAGCGAGCCTTCTTCGTCGTCCATGCCGCCCATCATGCCGGAGAGGCCCGGGATCATACCCGCCATCTTCGACAGCGGCCCCATCTTCATAATGTTCTGGAGTTGGTCGCGCAGGTCGCGGATCGTGAAGACGCCCTCCGCAATGTGCTTCATCGTCTCCTTCTGGTCCAGCTTGAGCGACTGCACGTGCTCCACCAGTCCCTGCACGTCGCCCATACCCAGCAGCTTGCTGACAAACCGCTGCGGGTCGAACTTCTCAAAGTCCAGCATGTGCTCGCCGGTACCCAGGAAAGCGATGGGGCAGTGCGTCGCGGCCGTGGCGGAAATGGCACCACCACCGGCCGCGGCACCGTCCGTCTTGGTCAGGATGATGGAACCGAAATCCGCCGTCTCCTTGAAAGCGCGCGACTGCGCCTCGGCGGCCTGACCGATGGACGAGTCGAGGACCATGATGGTCTGGTGGGGCTGGACGGCCTGCTGGATCTGGATCATCTCGTCGAACAGGTCCTGCTCCTGCCTATGCCTTCCACTGGTATCGACGATGATGATCTCGAACTTCTCCTTCTTGAACTTCTCAACACCCTCCCTCGCCACGACGACCGGATCCGTCTGCGTCAAGCTACCGTAGTACGGGATCTTGGCCTTTGTTGCGTTCTGCTTGAGCTGGTCAAAGGCACCGGCACGGAAAGTATCGGCGCAGACGAGGCAGGACTTGAAGCCGCGCGCGGCATACCAGCGCGCCAGCTTCGTACACGACGTAGTTTTACCGGAACCCTGGAGACCGACGAACATGATGACGTTGGCCTTACCCTTGCGCGGCTTGAACGGTTCGGCGTGCGGGTTGACGAGGTTGACGAGCTCGTCGAAGACGGCCTGTTTCGCGTGTTAGCAAGCGTAACTCGGCCGGTTGGGATTCATGTGCTGCGCGTGCCTTCTGGATTAGCCGCTTCTTGTTCACACCGGGCCCTAGGTCCTTGAAGTTGACCGACTTGCGTATCGAGGCGCGAAGCCCGGCAACCAGCTTGATGTTGACATCGGCTTCCACCAGAGCGTTGCAGATCTCCTTGACCATGCCATCGAAAGCCTGCGAGGGCGTGTTAGCTTCCGCGCATAATAGTTCGAGGACAAAGGACAAGGCGGCGCGACCTTCTCATCTAGGTTCGGCGACCTGGTCAGGTCGGAGACGGCGGCGTTGATGCGCCGTCCGAGGTCTTGGAGGACCATGATGGGCGATTGCGCAAAGGTGAAGAGGAATGTAGGTAAATGCGGAGAAGCGCGTGGGTGTCAACGTGGAAATTGGGATGAGGCGACGGCGCGGGGAGAGGTCGGCGGTTGCCGAGGCGGTGTGGGAGTTTTGCCTGCGCTGCTGCTGTCATGACAAACACATCGTCAAAGATAATTTACCCACCAATGTTGCCCATCACGCAACACAGATCTGCATAAATATATGTTCAATTCGATCACATCCATCTGTCTCCGCACCGCGATACACTTATAGAGCAGCACCCTTAACATAGTCAACCCAACCCATAACCACCGAATAAGTACCCGGCACACATAGCAGACAACCAAACACGCATCAAAAGAGGGACGTCCAGTCAAAAAGAACATCCCAATCACCACAGCCATATAATTACTCAAACATTCAGAGAGAAGCAACCAGCTACCGTTCATCTACCGAGTTTCAAGAAACCCCCGAGTTTGTAGCTACGTATAAAGCTCTCTCCCATAGCTAATTCAGAGTGACTCCCAACATGCCCTGACGCGCGATCCATGCCAACGCCATGCAATATCGGCGTCGCGAGAACGGCAGCAATGACCGAAGAAATGCTAGATAGCTAGAGACGGCAGCCAGCATCAGGCTCTGCTGAGGCACCATCCTCGCCCTCCGACTCCTCGCCATCTTCTTCGTTCTTCTCGGCTGTTTTGTCATCCGTACCACCCTTCTGATCACCCATCTCTCCGGCAGAGGCACTGACAGCAGCAGCATCATCATTGCCCTCCCTACCGGGAAGCACAGCCTTCTCATCACCACCACCACCATCACCACCGTCATTACTGCCGCCACGCTGTTTGAACGTCTCCTTGAACTCCGGCAGCGGCTGCTCCCCCACGTTCTTGAGCTCCTCCTCCAGAGCACGCGAGCGCTCCGCATCCGTCTTGGCAATCGCAGCTGCCGACCAAGCCAAGCGATTGTAGCCTGCCGGCGGGCCCGTGGGGCGGTTCATCCTGGAGCGAGGAGCCGTGGCGGCTTCCTTGGCTGGCTTTTCAGGAGCAGAGGCCGAGGTAGGAGTGCGGCGCTCCATTGCCTGGGCAGACGAGTTCGTCGGCTCCAGACGCATCTCGCGCAGGACTTCGTTAGCGGTCTTAGGGGTATCATCGTCATTCTTGTCTTCAGTCTTCCTGTTGTTGCGATCACGGTTGCGGCCGCGGTTGCGATCACGACCGTGGTCACGATCGCGCTTGTGCTTGCGGCGCTCGCGGCCCTCGAGGCACTTGATCACGGGAGCGGGCAGCTCGGCGTTAGCGATAGGATCGAGCGTGAAGTTCAAGACGGCCCAGGGTTGGCCGAGGCTGGTGCGCCAGGCGGTGGCATGGCGCTGCTTCTGCTTGACGTTGCCAAATCTGTCCTTGTGTGAGAACTTCTGTTCGAGCATTCGCATTAGAGGTTCGCTGTGGGGAGCGAGGAAGTCGAGGCGAGCAAGAGTGTGGTAGCCGAGGAAGTGGAATCCGCCGTTGCGACCGTGCTGTTGTTCGAAGATGGCTATGGGAGCTGTGAGAAGCGGGGTAGCTTGATCGGTCTGTGGGGATGATTGTGGAGTTGAATGGAGGGCTGGCGTGGGCCCTTCAGGCGTCAATTCGTCTGCCTGCTTGGTGGGTGAGGCACCGGTAGAAGCGTCGGTATCGTTGATTGCAGTGACTTCGGTCTGGACTGATAGGTTTGGAAGGTTAACATGCTCAACCCCAAGCTTGACTCCGCCGTCCTCTTGCTCCGACTCTTCACTCTGATTGTCTTGCTTGGGTTCCATACTCGAGTGTGCGGCAGTGCTCGACGTATTCGTCTTACCATTACGTATGCACCAGTTCGCAGCCTTGCCAACTTCGCAGCGTGCTTGGTCAACCCCATCTTTCCCATTGTCATCCGCGTCTTCCTTAGGCGCATTAAGGTTGACAACGACAACTCCCTCTTCAAGGTATTGAGCAGAGGTTGCAACGATGAAGAAGTGAGGGTGGAATGTTTTGTCCTCATCTCTAAGGCGTAGATGATAGTTGAAGACGTCCTTGAGTGGACAACCAGTGAAGTCAGGATTAGTCGCCAGGGAGCACCTATCTCCATCAAAATCTTCTACCGCGTTGAGTTGGTGTTCTAAGCTCGCTAGGCCATTAGTACTAAGGTCGGCGATGGTATAGACGGCAAACATTTGCTGATTAGCAGAAGTCTTTGGGTGGTGTTGGGCTTTGTTGTCCACATAAGCTGGCAAACTCAAATCAGAGGCCGCGGTCAGCTTGGGAGCATTAGCTGGCTCCGGGGTCAGCTTGAGCCACTCAGTGTTGTCACCAACTCTTATGTTGCTTGGAGAGATAGCTGGTCCCTCAGCCAAATTGCATCCCTTGTCGTCAGCAAAAACCATTGCGTGGTTCGGAAGCATAACAGGCTCCGGGGTTAGCTTGAGCCACTCGGTGTTGTCACCGATCCTCATGTTTCTTGGAGAGACAGCTGACTTCTCAGCCAACTTGCCTCCCTTGTCGTCATCAGAAACCAATGTGTGGTTCGGGAGCATAGTAGGCTCTTTAATCAATTTGATCGACTCAGTGTTGTCAGAGGCCTTAACGTTTTCAGGAGAGGTTGTCGGCACCTCAGTCATGTCGCTATCCTTGTCGTCACCAGGAGGGTTAGCGTTGTCTGATGTCGCAGCATGTTCATCCGTCAGCTTAATGCCGTCGGTGTTGTCAGAAGCCTTTGCATTCTCAGTCGCAGCAGCCAGCGCCTCAGCCAACTTGACACCATCAGTGTTGTCGTTAGGCCTAGCACCACTCAGACACTGTTCATTAAACCCAGGCAACAAGGCCAAGTTCGTCTTCACAAAGACAATGCCATCGCTCTTCCAGCGAGGGTTCGCGTCCTTGAAGAGCATGACATAACTGAGGGCCTCAGGCGCCGCAGCCGACGAGTTCAGCGTGCTCGGCGAGGGGTTAATACACGGGGCCGTTGGTTCTTGACCGTTGTTGTCAGCAGTGTCGCCGCCAGCTTGTTGCGGCCAGAAGTGGCTGTGGATGTCATTTTCTTTGGGCAAACGGTTAGCGGGCTTGGTGAAGGTGCGAGTCGGTGCGGGTGAGACGGCGTCGACGCTGTCGGCGACGGTTGCGTCGTCTGTAAGTGCGTTTGCTTTGTCGTTGTCGTTAGTACGTGCGTTCGCACTGACCTCGTCCTCTGTCGTCTGCTGAAGTGCGGGCGCGGCGGACGCCATGTTGCGTGGTTTTTGTGGTTGTGCGTTTGTTCAGGGCATGGCGGAAGGCGTGGGTGGGAAATATCTAAGTGCTGGGCGCTGCGGGCCGACCCGTGCCGCGGAGCAAACGTCGGGACTGGCCTGCAGCGGGGTTCATTCACCCAGCTGCTGGGGACTTCAAACTTCAAACAACCTACAAACGCGCCTCTGCGCCATGCCCTTCTCGCCCTTTCCCCTCCCATGGAAACAGCCTACCCAGCGCTGCCGCAAGACCTACCACACCGTTCTCACATGAGCCCTCCAGACAGAGAGGTACTTGCAATGTGCTTCCCGTGCCACTGACCCTGTCCTCAAGCAAACCTACAGTACCGCTCTTTCACTCACTCGCTCCACTCGCTAACGCTGCATCAGCAACTATTCACGCAGTAAATGCGTGAGGTACTGTGGTTGAGATGCACAGACACTCGAGGAGCTTGGGCATGGGTATCTAACTCTCTAGGAGCACGCCTGAAAGCACGTCTCGCGGCACCGGCACCGGACGGTCTCGACCCTCAGTCAAGCAATCCGAGCCTGGACGGACCAACACGCGACGGCATAAAGAAGCCCCTGGAGACGCACGATGGCGGGGGCGCCACGCAGCCAGGCGCGCACCGCATCACCTAGCCATGCGCCTAGCTACGCGCGCCATATCACAGGCACAGGGCTCGCAACGACCATCGCACACACCACCGCAGAGCTCATCATCATGGACATTACAGTACAATTGTATGTACAAGCGCAGCGCAGCGCTACAACACGCCTCAACTCCACACCCAGCAGCGGATCCCGGAGCCTACTATGCCTCCGCCTTCGGCGCCGGAGCGGCCACCTTCTCGGCCGCGTTCTCCGTCGACGATGATGCCCGCGCAGTCCCCGCATTCGTACCACCATGGCCCTCAACGACGCCGCGCTCGGCGTCGTCGGCGCGCCAGAAGTCGCGCTTTCCGCGTAAGGCGCGCTTGAGCCAGGGAGGCAGCACGCCGCCCTCGAGCTTGTAGGTCCAGGGGTCCTTGAACTCCTTGTCGAGGGGCTTGATGCGGCCGCCCGACGCCGTCTCCACGACCCACGCGATCATGTTGAGCAGGGTGTACGAGAGGATGCCGGCAATCAGGCCGTACGCGATCGAGTAGGTGAAGGGCATGACGGCGATGGTCAGGAAGGCCGGCACCGCGTCGCCCATGTACTTCCAGTTGATGTCCTTTGCGGCCTTGGCCATGAGCGAGCCGACGATGACGAGCGTGCAGCCCGTCGCCCACGGCGGGATGGACGCGAAAATCGGCGCAAAGAAGACCGAGATGAAGAAGCACACGCCCGTCGTCATGGCCGTGAGGCCCGTGGTTCCGCCCTCGGAAATGCCCGCGCCGCTCTCGATGAACGCCGTCACTGGCGGCGAGCCGAATAGCGACCCAATCGAGATTCCGAACGCATCCACCAGGTACGCGATCGCGCTGCCCTCAAAGTCCTGCGTGCGCTCGTCGATGAAGCCCGCGAACCGCGCCATCGAGTACATGGTGCCGGTGGTGTCGAGGATGTCGACGTACAGGAACGTGATGAAAGCGAGTCCGAACTGGCCACCATAGCCAGAGATGTCCCACTGGTTGGCGTTGAGGATGTGGCCGATGGGGTGGAAGGTGACGACCTTTTTGAAGAAGTCGAAGGAGCTGTCGCCCGTCTGGGTGTAAGGGAAATACGTGACGGAGGTAGGGCGCGGCCAGCTGATGATGGAGACGAGCAGGATGCCCATGATGATGGCGCCCTTGACGCGGTACATCATCAGTAAGACAGTCAGGAAGCCGCCGCAGAAAATGCCGATCCACATGGTGGGCGAGCGCATCTTGGCGGCGCTGGGACAGGTGCCGTCATCTCTGAGGAGGCCGGAGCTGCAGCCAGCCAGCTCGAGCGGCGTCTCAGTGGCGCCGGTGACGAGGCCAATGCCCGCGGAGTAGGCCAGGCCGATCAGCGTCAAGTACAGGCCGATGCCGACGCCGGTGGCGAGCTTGATGGAAGCGGGGATGGCGCGGGCGAGCCACTGGCGGAGGCCGATGAGGGTCAGGGCGACGAAGACGAAGCCCTCGAGGAAGACGGCCGTCAGGGCGATGCGGTAGGGCACGAGGCCGGAGCCGTGGTAGCCGACGACGGTGTAGGCGAAGTAAGCGTTCAACTGGCGCAGTAGTCAGTCAGACAGTCAGTCAATCAAACAGCACGAATGCCGAAGCAAGGGCTGGCTCGCTGGCTCGCTTCAAAGGTAGCTTACACCCATGCCGGGGGCCAGGGCGATGGGCATGTTGGCGAACAAGCCCATGGCGAAGCTGGTGAGGGCGGAGATGGCGGCCGTGGCGGTGACGAGGTCGCGGTTGATCTCCTGCACGCACAGCATGTAGTCGACGTTTGAGTCGCAGAGGTCGGCCATGTCCTCGGGCGGGCAGACGCAGGTGCCGCCCGTCTGCGACACGACGGTCGAGTTCACGGAGATGATGTAGGCCATGGCGAAGAAGGTGGCCAGGCCGGCGCGGATCTCGGTGAAGAAGAAGGCGCCTTTGCGCTCTTTGGGCTGTGGCGAGGCATGGTTAGGCGCGTGGTTTTGGCTGCGTGTTCGTCGTGTGCGTGGTATAGAGGCTGTAGATAGGTAGGTAGGTAGGTATGAATGGACTTACATGGCCGCTGTTCTCGAGCCTAAAGTACCTGCCCACGGCACTCTTGGCCACGCGCAGATTGGCGCTATGCACCCACAGCTTGAACCCATCCAACATGATGGCAGCGACAGCAGCAGATAAGGCGACAACGGCGGCGGCGGCGGCGGCGTGACGACGGCAACAAAGCAGCAAACCAACCCGAACCTATACTTCTACAACAGCATCCAAGCAAGCAGACAAAACGGCCGGGGCGGACCCATCTGATATAAGAAAGAAAAACCCAGTATCTAGCGCGCCCAGCCCCAGCCCACACGCGCGCAAAAAAAATCGGCCGTCTCGCGTCTCGCGATAAGCTATCACTTAAACACACAAAGATTTTCCCAGGGCGGCGGCACAGGGCGGCGGTACAGGGTGGGCTAGAGGGGCTTGGCCGTCGGCCATGATGCCAGGGCCCTGGCCTTGCCTGCCTACGAGCGGTTACGCCGTTCCCGTTTCCAGCGCGCGGGGCCGATCGCCCAGACGCGAGACGGCTTGGCGAGCGAGGGTTTTATCGCCCTGGGACCGTTGGCCGGGCGCGTGGGGCGACGTTTTGGGCCGCTTGGTCGGTGTGTGTGTGTGTGTGTGTGTGTGTGTGTGGCGAATGGCATGGTTGGGGGACGGCGATGGAGATTCCATGCTTTGCGCGCTGCGCATGCGAGATGCTGTCGCGTGCATGCGTTCGCGTGGGCTTCCTTATCGCGGCTGGGCCCTGGGGTTGGGTTTGTGTGGCGGCACTCCTTGCTTTGGCTTGGCTTTTGGCTTGGCTTGGGATTGGGAAGGCAGTGGAAGGATGCGCTTCCTGCTGGTGATGGGAGTGGTGGGCCTGATTGTGGGCGGTGCCCGCTATTGTACTTTTTTTTCGTTCGTTTACTTATGGAGTACGGGTGTTGGTTGTGACAAGTGCGCTGAGGAGACGAATGATGGGAATTCGTCTGTTCGTTACATACTCACCAAGTAACCTAGATATCTTCTCAATCCTTAGGTATCTACTGTGCTACTCGATGGCTCTTTTGCTGTGAGTCAGGTGCTTGCGCCATGGCAGCGCGACCGAGTCTCCTCTCACCAAAACCCAGTGCCAGTCCAGAGATAAGAGAAGAGGCCGATATAGCTGCGCCAAAGAGCACCATCCAAACACCCGCGCACAAGGCAAGCCCAAGCGACAAATCAGCCACTCTAACCCTCACGCAGGCTAAAAGCGCCCGGAATATCGTGGCCGGGGCATCTAGCGACGTCAATCCCTCACAACGTGCACCACCACGGCGCGGATGCCATAACCCAGCGTTTTATTTTGGCTAGACACCGGTTGCTGCGCGTGAATTGCTCTCGAGAGCGCGAAGCGGATGCCGCTTGTTTGGTGCTTTCCTTGCACCGGTGTCGGGATACGGCTTCCGAGCTGAGGGCGGGTTGGGTGGCTCCTGGGTTTGGTAGGATGGGTTTTTCTTCTTCTTCTTCTTCTTCTTCTTCGTCTTCTTCTTCGTCTTCTGAGTGGAGTATTTAAGGAGAGGGTCGCTTCTTTCATTGTCCGGCCATGGCTACGCCGTCTCGTCTGTCTCTTGTTGTCCTGTCGTGTCCGCTTCTGCGCTCCGCTGTGCGTACGCCTACTACCCGTTTTGGCTGCTCGACGAACACCACCACCGTCATGTCTATACCGTCCTTGTCTTTCCTTCGTCATCCTGTCCGCGCCTACCACGACCAGCATACGAGCTCGGACAAGGACTCGGACTCAGACCCCAACGCGTCCGTCACCACCACCACGATCCCCTCCCGCCTCTACAAAGCCGACGAAGCGCCCTCCCTCGCCGAACTCGCCGCCCTCTGCAACCAGCCCATCACACAACGCGACTACCCCCTCAGCACCACCATCTCATCCAACATCCCACTCTACGACCTCTCGCGCTTCTCCCCCAGCGACAACAGCAGCGTCTCCCATCTCCAAGACGAATGGGCACACAACCTACTCTCCGGCCCCGGCGTCTTCGTCGTGCAAAACCTGTACCCAGACCCTTCCGTCATCGCCGCCGCCAACACGGCCTTCGACCTTATCCTAGCCGTCGAGTCCTCCTCCCCAACAAACGTCAAGGGCGACCACTTCGCCGCCTCATCCGCCAACGCCCGCATCTGGAACGCGTTCGGCAAGCACGCGCTCGCGGCCCCGGAGTCCTTCGCAACCTACTACAGCAACCCCTGGCTCCCGGCCATCGCTGCCGCCTGGCTGGGCCCCGCGTCCCGCCTGACCGCGCAACTCAACATTGTCCGCCCCGGCGGCGCGCCCCAGACCCCCCACCGCGACTACCACCTCGGCTTCCAGTCGGCAACTTGCGCCGCCGCGTTCCCGAAACCCCTCCACGCCGCCTCCGCGCTGCTGACGCTGCAGGGCGCCGTCGCGCACAGCGCCATGCCGCTCGCGAGCGGGCCGACAAGGTTCCTGCCCGGCAGCCAGCGCTTCGCCCAGGGGTACATGGCGGCGCGCCGGCCGGAGTTTGCCGAGTTCTTTGAAAGAAACTGGGTCAGTCTGCCGCTGGGGGTCGGGGATGGGGTTTTCTTCTCCCCGGCGCTCATGCATGCGGCGGGTAGGAATGAGACGGAAGATCTCCAGCGCAGCGCCAATTTGTTGCAGATTAGTGCGGCGTTTGGGAAGCCGATGGAGAGTGTGGATGCGCTGCCTATTGTTAAGGTGGTTTGGCCGTATGTGATGGACATGGCGAAAGCCGGTACACGTGAGAGCGAAGTCCAGGTCGAAGCGCTCCTCTCCCACCTCGGCGAAGGCTACCCCTTCCCGACGAACCTGGACCGGCGGCCCCCCGGGCCGGGCGGCATGGCGCCCGAGAGCGAGGTCGAGGTGCTGCGGCGGGGGGTGCGGGAGGGGTGGGGGACTGCGGAGGTGGTGGCGCAGTTGGAGGGGATGAGGGAGGCGGGGAGGGCGTAGGGGGTGTGGTCTTCTTTTTAGTTGTGGACTTCCGTCCAGTCAGCTAGGTAGGTAGGGGTGGTATATTGTAGTTCGGACATAATTATACGCTTATGCATGCATTCATCCTGCGGTATCAGCATGTGCAAACCGGGTCCTGAATCCGTAGTCTCAATCACGACTTCCCCCGCGCAAACACTGAGCCAGCATCCAAAGGGTATGACATTAAACGCTAGCTGCCGCCGCATGAGAAAAAGAATACCTCCATCCCACCCCATCCCAAGCCCTACCCTACCCAAGCATTGCCCATTCGCACCCCTCCCCACCCCGCAGCCTCAAAAATTCTCAATCTGGGTGCCATAGCCCCTGCGGTCCGCCAGCCCAACCAACTCCCCCCCAACCACCACGTCCATCAGCCCCAGCCCCACACTCTTATAAATGACGTTCCCGCGCTCCAGCCAGTCGCGCAGCCCGCCATCATGCTGCTCGGAGCCCTTGGGCGTAGCAGCGCTATCATTGACCTCGACGCCAACACCGCTATCGCCGCTCTTATGCGAATGCGCCGACGCGACGCTCGCCCCGCTCGCCTGCCTGCGATGCTGCGTGCGCTGCCGCTCCTGCTCCAACCGCCGCTTCTCAGCATCGCGCTTGAGCATGACGAGCTCGCCCAGCTCAACGACCTCGTTGGCGTCCAGCCGCGCCTGCACGACCTCGCCCGCGTCGCGCAGACACGCCTCCAGGCTGTCGACGACGACGGCGCCCCCCTGCCGCGCGTGCTTGTGGTGGTGGTGCGAGTGGTGCGGCGCCACGGCCTGGCGTAGCACGTCGGGGTGCAGCTCGATCATCTGCGGCGTGAAGGAGCCGATGGCCGCGATGTAACGGCCCTTGCGCCGGCCTTGCACGCTCGTCAGGTATTCGGCTGGGAAGAGCGGCTCCAGCGACGGTGTGGTGAGGAAGATCGCCGCAGAGGCTCGCACCGTCGCTTTCAGGTACCGGTGGTACTCCGTGTGCTGCGGCGTCACGAGCTTGGTGTCGGGGCGATGCAGGCGCACTCCGCCGCCGCCGTCGCCGCCGCCGTCATGCTCTTCGCCCGCTCCTCGTCCTCCTCCTCCTCCCCACAGCCGGTCCAGCAGCACGCGCCCCGACTCAAACGACCGGTTGATGATGTTGAGGTACTTGATCGCGTCGCCGCGCAGCAGCAGCGCCAGCCGAATATGCCAGTACGCCTGCCGGCCGGCCCCAAACACCGTGATCTCGTGCACGTCGGCGCGCTTGCGGAACAGCATCGTCGACGCCAGCGCCGTGCGGAATGCCGTGATTTCCTCGGCGTTGATGAGCGCGCGCGGGAAGCCCTGCGCGTCCAGCAACGTCAGCGAGCCCCGCGGCGTCGCTTGCGCTGATCCGTTGTCTGCTGACATTGAGAGCGACGCGACCGACGAGGTCAGGTCTTCTGATGACCCGTTGTCGTTGTTGTCGCCGTTGTCGCCGCCTGGTTGCGCCAGCGTCACTATCTTCACCCCGAGCCCGTCGTTGCTGCTCGCGGGCATGAATAGTGTCATTGATCCATCTCGTCGCTTCAGGAATGTCCGCTGCGGCTGGTATGTCGAGCAGCACCCGTTCTCTGTGTCCGTCGCCGTGGAATAGTAGTGGAGCGCGTCGCCGAGTGATTGCTGGAGGTTAAGGATGTCCTGCTGTGTCAATGAGTGCAGGAGCCGTTTGACGTCAGCGTCCGAGAGTATTGTCAGCGGCATGGTGCCCAAACAATCTGTGTGAGGTGAGCGCAAAATAAGCGGAGGGGGTAGCAACAGTTCTTCAATTATTGTCCGTCAGCATTCCTCAGGTTACACGGCATCTGCGAATGGTTGGTTGGGGAGATGACGACGCGGCGGGGCACGGCGGGGCGTCTGTCTCTGGCTGGAAGCGGCGAGCAATCGCCGAAGCGTCTAGCCAACAACTCACAAAGTCGACAATCACATGTGAAGGCAGACAGATCATTCCATGTTGGGGGGCCAGTGGGCGCTTTGGTCATTGCGAAGTGCATGTTATTCACATTCCCGTCGGACTTCCGACCAACGCCCGCTAAAATTGAGCCGAAGACACGCCATTGACCCGTTAATCCATCATTTGTTTGGTATCGAAGAGAAGAGAAACTTTTGTCAGACCACTTAGATCTTGATGGCGCTCTCGATAGCCTTGCGCTTCTTCTCCTGCTTGGCGTTGGCCTTGGCACCCATGATACCACCACCCCAGTGACGGCGGGACTCCTCGTGCTTGTCGGTGTAGCCAGTCTTGATGGCGTCGACGAGCTTGGAGAACTCGGACTTGTCCTCGGAGCGGACCTCAGTGAGGGCGACGACAGCGGCGGTCTGAAAAAATTTATTAGTCGGTGCCAGACATTGACTGCGCTCGAAAAATATACCTTCTTGTGGACGACCGTGCCGAGGCGGGCCTTGCCCTTCACGATGGCGTAGGGGACACCCATCTTGCGGCAGAGGGCGGGAAGGAAGATGACCAGCTCAATGGGGTCAACATCGTTGGGGATGAGGACAAGGGAAGCCTTCTTGTTCTCAATCAGGCCAACAACGTGGTTGAGACCGTACTTGACGGCGTAGGGCTTCTTGGAGACATCCTCCTTCTTCTTGCCCTCGGCGATGGCGGTGGCCTCCTTGGTGAGACGCTCCTTCTTCTCGGCCTTGGTCTCAGGGCGGTACTTGTTGAGGAGCTTGAGGGCCTGGGCAGCGGTGTTGCGGTCCAGGACGTGCTGGAACTGAGCAATCGCAGGGGGGACCTTCAGGCGAAGGTTGAGGATCTTCTTCTGGCGCTGAAGGCGGACATACTCTGGCCACCTCACCATGCGGGAGAGGTTGCGCTTGGGCTGAATGTCCTGACCGATGCCATAGTTGCGGGGGCGCTTCTCGAGGAGAGGGTTCTGCGTGAAAATGTCAGCGAGGCGCTTTAGCTGAAGAATGGATGAGCAAACGTACCTTGGCGGCCTTCTTAGCACCAGCCTTGCCCGAGGCAAAGGGAGCAGGCGCGGTCTTCTTTCCCGACTTAGGAGGCTATCATTGAGAAAAGAATCAGCAACGGATTCTTGTATCTCTAAAGAGCATCACAGAAGGCATATTCCAGCGCTTCTAGCTCAAGCCAAATCATCGCCATCGTCAAACAGCTTTCGCTGCCGACGCGACGGAAATCCGCTGGGGCATGCGTCTTCAATCCTGGGGAACTGAAGGGCAGAGGCCTCGCAGCTTCGATGCTTTCACATCTAAACCTGGAAGCTTACCATTGTGATTGTCGTTTGGCGGTCGATGGACTTTTCGCGACGTCGTGGTTGAATCGAAAAAGATCGAGCAGGGCTGCGCGAAAGAAGTTTGTGGGTTTGGGTCGCTTTCGCGTAATTTCCGCCGTTGGGATTAGCGCGGCGTGTACTGCACGGACCATCAATGGCCGGGGTCTTGGACAACAGGACATCTATTCCTCAAACTTCCATCTCATCCGCTCGGAGACGCACCTCAATGTCTATAATACATCCCTAAATAATGTTTTCTACAGTTAGGAAGCATCATCAATTGTAGGCTTCCATGTTGAGGTAATGTACTTCCCCAGCCTATTTGCCATCAAGCACCTCAAGCAGCCTCCTCAGCCCTTCCCGAACAACTCTTTCATCATGACTAAACACGACACGGAATAGTCCTGGCTCCTCCGCAGATTGGCTTTCACCGGGAGAAACATTGAGTTTGTTGTCAAAGAATCTCTCCACCAGTTCCCGCTCTCTCTCCCATCCGGAAATCCTCTCTCCTTTGCCGTTTGTGTCCGGCAGCCATTTTCTTAAATCGATCCACATGAAGAACCCTGCATTCGATGCCTTGGAATAAGGGACTCCACGTTCATCTAGAATTTGACGTACCAAGGCATTCCGCGAAGCCAAGCGCTCGCAGCTCGTCTTTAAGAAGGATTCCATCCATTCCACGTCTTCGAGCATTTGCGCAGCAGTGAGGTCGTTGGCGATGCCGGACCAGTGGAACTGATTGATGGCGTTCAGGGCAGTTGCTAGTACCTCGTTGCGCACAAGTAGACAACCCAATCGCAGACCACCGCCTGCGAGGTCCTTGCTCATTCCATACATGACGTGGAGAAGATTGCGATCGATATACTTCTCGTAATCAAGGGAGAGCACCGAAACGAAAGGGACCGCAGATTCATCTGGGACTTCGTAGACAGAGGTCCCGTAGATCTCATCTGATATCATGTGGATTCGGTGCTTGTTGCAAAATTGCATCAAAGCAATGAGTGTGTCGACCGGATAGCATTGCCCCAGCGGATTGTGCGGGCTACAAAGCATCATGGCGCGAACCTTGATCCCAGAGCTGGATGCCTTCTTGAGTGCCTCTTCGAATTTATCGATGGCCGCCACCGAGAACTGGTCGACGCCATGAAAGGGGACGTGTACAAGCCTCACTCTAATTGAACAGCAGTCAGTATAAGATATTTAACTAGGAGTTTTGATCTTTACTTTGCTTTCGTTCCGAAGTCGATAGGGAAACCAGAATAGCTGGGTTGGGCTATGAGAATCCCATCCTCTTCGTCGAACATTGTATATCCAAGCATATCACAAAGAGAGGTGCATCCGTTCGTGAAATGGAGATGCATAGGGTCCACTGGCTCCCGTGGTTTGAAGTACCTGAAAAGTGTTAGCTTATGGGAGTCCAGACGGATCACCGAAACAAGCATACCTATTCATATGGTTCGCCATAGCGGTACGGAGACGCAAAGTGCCCATTGGACCCTCGCCATAGCTAAAGTCCTTGGCTTTGAAGTGCACCTTGACAACTGTCAATTCTAACGGAGTAGATCAGGACATTGGATCGCATACTGGGTGTTTATTCATGAAAGCAGCAACTTCCGGTAGCATAGCATGCTGTATTAGAATTTGGTTAGTGCCACCGAAGTCTTTATTAGGAGGGACGTCGATATAAGCATCATTTCCGTTCCATGGTGATGTCGTGGGCACGGGCTTTGAAGTACATCTCGGTAGTGGCCAGGCTGCAGTCGCACAAGTTCCCTCCTTCATTCACTTTTTCGCCGACATGGACAAGTGTGGGTACTGGTACAGTTGAATGCACTCAAGGATCCATGTGTCAGGTTCACGATGACCCACCTTCGAGGGAACCCGTTTGTTGCATCATAAGGTGTCAGAAGAGGTAGGTACAGTACATTCTCAGCTGTTCCAATGTCGATAAATCCTGATGGATTCGAATCAGGATCGTGTGGATCGGCCATGAACTTCTTAAACTTCTCCGCAAGGCTTGGTCCTTGGGCCAAGACGGCACCGCGTTGCGCAAGCGTCTCGATGCCAGAAGCCATGGGGGAAAGAAGGGTTGCCCAACGTTTGTACTGGGCTACGTCATTAAATTGATGAAAATCCTAAAAGGACGAAGGTCGACTTACGAGTATGAGAAGGTACGGCCGAAGAAAGACAGGTGCGGGAAGAAAACCAGCTGACGAGAAATACAAGAGAACGACAACGCAGGTTTGAGTCCAAGGTAAGCAGCGGGCGTCCAAGCCGACAATTCGCACCATACCTATCGGGCCAAATCGCGGCCCTTGAAATCCGGCATACCTTGCCCCTCAGCCCCAACGGGACTTCAAACCATCGTGTCCTTCAACCCACTGCTTACCTGGCCCTACTCACCAAGATCTGGGGTTTACATGGATGAAATTCTTCATCTTCTTAAATGAAATCTTTGAAGACATGTCCCACAGCGTCGGCCTCGGCGTGCAGTACTCTGAGGCCTCCCGGTTGTCATCCCCACCAACACAACTCCCCATCACTCGAATGCAGGCATCTTTATGAAATGGCCAGTATCAAGCGGAGGGGCTTCACGTCTTGCAACGATTGGAGTAGGTCACGTCATCTGTTGGTCACGTGGCCAGCTCTTATCGATCCGACGCCAGCGGGCGGTCAGCGGCGGCCTTGAATCGCTCGTGCGCGCCCCAGCCTTCGCTCATCACCCGCTCAATCTCTCCTTCGTGCGCTAGTTCCGCAGTCCCCTTCCGCTTGCTCTTCTCGCGATCGCAGACTCGTCAAGCCATTCCACTGCACGCTATGAGCTTTGCCTTGTAGTCAGCCCGCCTCCTCCCACGCTACGCCTCGGCCCTCAGAACCGCGACAGCGCGTCGACACAGCGAAGCGACGACGGCAAATCCATACCACAGCACCCACAATGAAGTCCTCCGCGATCCGGGAGTCGGCCGTCCCGTCCAACAGCTCAAACCGCCGTACCTCAGCTCGCCAGCAACGTACTGGGACATCGAGACCCACCAACTACTACGCCCGCACCTTTTCTGGGCGCGCGCCCATGGCCGACAATGCCTCTGCCAGCATGTCAACACCAGGCTTCTTCCCAGCCATCACACATTTCACCGACTCGATAAATGCCCTCCCAAAGGAGGTCATGAAGCATTTCTCCATGATGAGAGAAGTCGAAGCCAAAACCGACTCCGCCGACAGCGAACTCAAGGTCCTCTCAGAGAAGATCTCGGCGTTTCCCCCAATATCGAGACAACAGGCACGATTGATTGCACGGAGCGCGGCGAACAGCACGGGCAGCAACAGCCTCAATGGCAGCGTTGCTGGGTCGGTAGTGCACGGGCAGCAAGGCGCTGAACAATCAGAGAGCGGGAGCAATGGGCAGGCTACCGAGGAGGATTCTCAGCTCCAGCGGCGACAGGTCTTCTATCGTTACCGGTACAACCTCGCGCAAATGTGCGGGATGCTTGACGAGAAGAATGCCGTTCTCTCCAGTGCCAATCAGACAGTCGAGAAGCAGCTGGCGCGTATGGAGAGCTCCTACGTACACATCGATGAAGAGCTCAGCTACGAAGCGCGTTATGGAAGCACCACGCACTGGGCCTACAAGGATGGAGATGACAAGAACAAGAAAGCGCCCGCAAATGAAAGATCAAGGCGCGAAGTCGCTGCAGCCAACAACCTGGCGGCAGCTGCGGCAGCAGTGCATGAAGGGGACATAGCAGCAACTAGAGGCGACTCAAGGCGTGATGGGTTGCATACGAGACACAAGAATCGCAATCATTACGTCGACTCGGATTTTGACGACAGACCCACGAAGAAAGCGCCAGCAAGTCGAAGCAAGAAGACCACAGACATAACCCAGAGCGCCTTTTACGGACTTGGAATTACTCATACTCCTAATCAAGCAAGTAAGCGACGTAAAACGGAGAAGACTGCGACATCTGCGCCAGCGATGGAGCGCTCAATGAGTGGAGCCATCAAGGACGCTGCAGGCGGTCGAGCCAGCCCTCGGGAGACACCAGCGGCGGAGAGTAAGAAAAGGTCTCGTGCAGCACCGGCGCCAGCTCCTGCGAAGAAAAGGTACGATCCAATAACGTCGATGTTAGAGCGTGCTTGCAGTAGACTGACATTGCATGTAGAACACAAGCAGTTGGCCATCAGAGCCCCCACGTCCCTTCATCTCCTGTCATTGGCAACTTTGGTGTGCCGGGAGCTGCTGCCCAGCGTCCGATGACTTCCCGTGGACGCCAAAACTCGACGTCGAATTCCACCGCTTCCGTGCACCAAGAGCCCTCTCGCCAGCGACCACCCTCGTCCGCCTCGAACAGACCCATAAACGGTGTGATAAACAGTTGGGAAGCTGAGCCAGGAGCACCACACGGGGCAGTAGTTCCTGTCGCTCCGCCTGGTGTGACGGCTGAGTCCCCAGCGGTCTCAAACGGAAATTTGCCTGAGCGTACAATGAAGCGTGAGGAAACAGATGCTCATGAAGGCGCAGGAACGCCCTCGCAGACAGTCATAACTCGTGCCGGTCGTGCTTCCAAGACCGCGACGCCAGTAATTGGCAGTTTTCCCGAAGGCGCGCCCATGGCGCGTAGTCGCAGCACGCGTAACAATGGCAGCCACGCGTCTTCCGAGTCAAACGTTCCTCTTGTCACTCAACAACCGCAGAAAAGGTCTCACAAGAAGGGTGCATCGGCGTTGCAGCGCAGCGCGGCAAATCACGTCGATGACGGCAGCAGCCTAGCCGGAGATCTCTCGGGCCCAGATCTTGATGAGGAGGTTGTTGAAGAAGAGGACGATGGAGACCAAGAGCGCTTCTGCTATTGCAACGGCGTGAGCTATGGTGAGATGATTGGATGCGACAACCCGGATTGTGCGCGGCAATGGTTC